TTAAGGGACAACAGGGTCAAACTTATTCAAATAACTTGAATCTTGCTTTGTTATATGTTTTCTGTTGTCTTTGTTTTTAATTGGTTTGTCTGTTTTTAGTTAGTGTTAAATAAATCAGCTATTTGCACAGTACTGCTGTTCCTGAAACTTTCACTTTATCCTGACAGTAGAACACGAGACAGATAATCTCTCGTTCCTCCTCGTGCTCCTCATGGTAGCAAATATAAAAAAGTACCTACTGCTTTAAGCTATTTGATTTTAATTGTAGTTGATTGTTAGTCGCACACTCAAGAAGGAGTTTATGAGAGACTTAGTTGTTGTATGTCGACCTAACATCAGCTGTTTCCTGGCTGGAAATGTGATTGTGATGAGTTGTTTGTATGTGGAGGTTTTGCAGGTAGCAGCTCTCGGACCGGCACCGGAACTACTTTCACCGCTGATTTACCTCCAGACATAAGAAGATGAGTGATTTGGAGGAAGAGTGGGAGAGAGCAGCGTCTCCAGACCAGACTAAAAGAAAACCTTCAGGCTTCAGTGAAGAACCTGGATCCTCAGACACAAAGTAAGAGACTCACATGAAGATGTAAAGTTACAAATACAGTCGAGTGCAGTAAAACACACAAACAAATAGGGCTGCACAATTAATTCAATTCTATTTATTTGTCCAGAAATCGCAATATAGCTGTGTGCAATATGCAAATAGCAGGAAGCTGCAGGTAAAATGTGACTAAAAGTGTTATAGTTAAGTACTTTAGGCCAGAAGATTTTTCTTATTTTAAGTTTTGAACTGTGATGCAAAAGTGAATCATATCTGTAAAAAATAAATACAAATAAATAAAATAATTGTAATTTGATGTTTTTACCATATCGTGCTGCCCTAGTTTGTCGGCTGAGCATTGACAACATTATCTCCTGGAGCTCTTTTTGAGAAAGAGAGAGAAATTTTGAGAACATTATTTGAGATACTAAGTCAAAATACTGAGAAAGATGTAGAACTGCAGACGGACAAATAACTATAACTACTTGTATTAATTATCTGATCAGGATCATGTGTGAAGTCAATGTTCCCTTGGCTCCGTACAAACACTAATGATGTGTCTAAATCGTTTGTTGTTTCCACAGAAAGAGAGCAGAGTCTCCAGCATCCAGCTGTAATGAACCGGGACCCTCAGACACAAAGTAAGGCTGCGTTCAAACTGAAAGCCTTTGTGCACAACTTGGAATTATTGATCAGTTCAGAATTTTTTGTTTGTTTGGCTGTTCACATTCATTTTTAAATGTGACTCGGATTCCAGTGTGAACACTAACAAAGACGTCACACAGAGAATTCTGATGTACAAAAGTAAAAATGGCCACTGATGTCATAGTTCCCAATTTCTTTAAGTCGGTGTACAGTGGAAGCCGGCGAATTTGTGAGCAGCTGATAACGAGGACGAGGATGAGGAAAAAGAGAAGCAAATTTTTAAATGTGACTTTTTGTGGAGCAGTGGCTGCTACATCTGTACGGAAGTGTTTGCAGATGTGGAGTCAGAGCCAGGAGTGGTGGAATTGTGATGTGAATGGCTTCACAGATACAGATTTCCTCCAAAATTTCAGTATTTCAAGGGATACTTTAAACTACATCTGTCAGCGCCTCTCCACCAGATTCTCACGGCAAGACGCTCAGTTCAGGCGACCCATCTCCATGAGAAAGTGAGTGACCGGAAAGGCTCAAGAATTCTCAGATCTGTATCTGATTTAGGTCCATGTACAAAAGTCCAAAAAGTACAAAATCAGAACTGAAAAGATTAGATTCAATGTAATTTGTTCTGTTCACACTGTGACAAAGTCAGTGTATATTTTTGTCACTTTAAAGAAATGCAGTCGAGTGCAGTGAACATGCATGCAAACAGAGAAATCTATTTAATGACTTCTTTTTAATAAATTATGACCATGTGTGATGTTAATGTTCCATCTCCTCTTCAAGAACTCATGATGTTTGTAAAACATTTGTTGTTTCCACAGAGAGAGAGCAGAGTCTCCAGTGTCCAGCTGTCTGTCTATGAAGAGTGACTTTTCCAAAGACAAACCTCCAGACTTCAGTAATGAACCTGGACCATCAGACATAAAGTAAGAAACTGAAAGTAGAATTCAGTAAAGAACCGCAGAAGAGTGCAGCAAAGAAACGTAGTAGAGTGCAGTAAAGAAACGCAGTAGAGTGCAGTAAAAAAACGCAGTAGAATTCAGTAAAGAAACGCAGTAAAATGCAGTAAGGAAATGCAGTAGAGTGCAGTAAAAAACGCAGTAGAATTCAGTAAAGAAACGCAGTAAAATGCAGTAAAGAAACGCAGTAGAGTGCAGTAAAAAACGCAGTAGAATTCAGTAAAGAAATGAAGTAAAATGCAGTAAAGAAACGCAATAGAGTGCAGCAAAGAAACACTGTAAAGTGCAGTAAAGAAACGCAATAGAGCGCAGTAAAGAAACACAATAGCGTGCAGCAAAGAAACAGAGTAGAATTCAGTAAAGAAATGCAGTAAAATGCAGTAAAGAAACGCAGTAGAGTGCAGTAAAGAAACGCAGTAAAATGCAGTAAAGAAACGTAGTAAAGTGCAGCAAAGAAACACAGTAGAGTGCAGCAAAGAAACACAGTAGAGTGCAGCAAAGAAACACAGTAGAATTCAGTAAAGAAACGCAGTAAAATGCAGTAAAGAAACGCAATAGAGTGCAGCAAAGAAACACATTAGAATTCAGTAAAGAAACGCAGTAAAATGCAGTAAAGAAACGCAATAGAGTGCAGCAAAGAAACACCGTAGAATTCAGTAAAGAAACGCAGTAAAATGCAGTTAAGAAACGCAGTTAATTGCAGTAAAGAAACACAGAAGAGGGCAGTAAAAAACGCAGTAGAGTGCAGTAAAGCAACACAGTAGAATTCAGTAAAGAAAGACAGTAGAATTCAGTAAAGAAACGCAGTAAAATGCAGTAAAGAAACGCAGTAGAGTGCAGTAAAGAAACACAGTAGAGTGCAGTAAAGAAATGCAGTAAAGTGCATTAAAGAAACGCAGTAGAGTGCAGTAAAAAACACAGGAAAGTGCAGTAAAAAACACAGGAGAGTGCAGTAAAAAACACAGGAGAGTGCAGTAAAGAAACGCAGTAGAGTGCAGTAAAGAAACGCAATAGAGTGCAGTAAAAAACGCAGTAGAATTCAGTAAAGAAACACAGTAAAATGCCGTAAAGAAACGTAGTAGAGTGCAGTAAAGAAACGCAATAGAGTTCAGCAAAGAAACACAGTAGAATTCAGTAAAGAAACGCAGTAGAATTCAGTAAAGAAATGCGGTAAAGTGCAGTAAAAAACGCAGTAGAGTGCAGTAAAGAAACGCAGTAGAGTGCAGTAAAGAAACACAGTAGAGTGCAGTAAAGAAATGCAGTAGAGTGCAGTGAAGAAATTAAGTAGAGTGCAGTAAAGATGCATACAAACAGAGAAATAAATATAATTACTTATTAATAAATGATGACCATGTGTGATGTTAATGTTCCCTCTGCTCTTTAAGTACTCATGATGTGTGTAAAACATTTGTTGTTTCCACAGAGAGAGAGCAGAGTCTCCAGTGTCCGTGTCAGAGTCTATGAAGAGTGACTTTTCCAAAGACAAACCTCCAGACTTCAGTTATGAACCTGGACCCTCAGACATAAGTCACAAGTAAGAAACTGAAAGTAGAATTCAGTAAAGAAACATAGTAGAGTGCAGCAAAGAAACACAGTAGAATTCAGTAAAGAAACGCAGTAGAGTGCAGTAAAAAACGCAGTAGAATTCAGTAAAGAAACGCAGTAAAATGCAGTAAAGAAACGCAGTAGAGTGCAGTAAAGAAACACAGTAAAGTGCAGTAAAGAAACGCAGTAGAGTGCAGTAAAAAACGCAATAGAGTGAAGTAAAAAACACAGTAGAGTGCAGTAAAGAAACGCAGAAGGACGCAGTAAAGAAACGCAATAGAGTGCAGCAAAGAAACAGAGTAGAATTCAGTAAAGAAACGCAGTAAAATGCAGTAAAGAAACACAGTAGAGTGCAGTAAAAAACACAGGAGAGTGCAGTAAAGAAACGCAATAGAGTGCAGTAAAAAACGCAGTAGAATTCAGTAAAGAAACACAGTAAAATGCCGCAAAGAAACGTAGTAGAGTTCAGCAAAGAAACACAGTAGAATTCAGTAAAGAAACGCAGTAGAATTTAGTAAAGAAATGCAGTAAAATGTAGTAAAGTGCAGTAAAAAACGCAGTAGAGTGCAGTAAAGAAACGCAGTAGAGTGCAGTAAAGAAACACAGTAGAGTGCAGTAAAGAAATGCAGTAGAGTGCAGTGAAGAAATTAAGTAGAGTGCAGTAAAGATGCATACAAACAGAGAAATAAATATAATTACTTATTAATAAATGATGACCATGTGTGATGTTAATGTTCCCTCTGCTCTTTAAGTACTCATGATGTGTGTAAAACATTTGTTGTTTCCACAGAGAGAGAGCAGAGTCTCCAGTGTCCGTGTCAGAGTCTATGAAGAGTGACTTTTCCAAAGACAAACCTCCAGACTTCAGTTATGAACCTGGACCCTCAGACATAAGTCACAAGTAAGAAACTGAAAGAAGAATTCAGTAAAGAAACATAGTAGAGTGCAGCAAAGAAACACAGTAGAATTCAGTAAAGAAACGCAGTAGAGTGCAGTAAAAAACGCAGTAGAATTCAGTAAAGAAACGCAGTAAAATGCAGTAAAGAAACGCAGTAGAGTGCAGTAAAGAAACACAGTAAAGTGCAGTAAAGAAACGCAGTAGAGTGCAGTAAAAAACGCAATAGAGTGAAGTAAAAAACACAGTAGAGTGCAGTAAAGAAACGCAGAAGGACGCAGTAAAGAAACGCAATAGAGTGCAGCAAAGAAACAGAGTAGAATTCAGTAAAGAAACGCAGTAAAATGCAGTAAAGAAACACAGTAGAGTGCAGTAAAAAACACAGGAGAGTGCAGTAAAGAAACGCAGTAGAGTGCAGTAAAGAAACGCAGTAGAATTCAGTAAAGAAACACAGTAAAATGCCGCAAAGAAACGTAGTAGAGTTCAGCAAAGAAACACAGTAGAATTCAGTAAAGAAACGCAGTAGAATTTAGTAAAGAAATGCAGTAAAAAACGCAGTAGAGTGCAGTAAAAAACGCAGTAGAGTGCAGTAAAGAAACGCAGTAGAGTGCAGTAAAGAAACACAGTAGAGTGCAGTAAAGAAATGCAGTAGAGTGCAGTGAAGAAATTAAGTAGAGTGCAGTAAAGATGCATACAAACAGAGAAATAAATATAATTACTTATTAATAAATGATGACCATGTGTGATGTTAATGTTCCCTCTGCTCTTTAAGTACTCATGATGTGTGTAAAACATTTGTTGTTTCCACAGAGAGAGAGCAGAGTCTCCAGTGTCCGTGTCAGAGTCTATGAAGAGTGACTTTTCCAAAGACAAACCTCCAGACTTCAGTTATGAACCTGGACCCTCAGACATAAGTCACAAGTAAGAAACTGAAAGTAGAATTCAGTAAAGAAACATAGTAGAGTGCAGCAAAGAAACACAGTAGAATTCAGTAAAGAAACACAGTAGAGTGCAGTAAAAAAACGCAGTAGAATTCAGTAAAGAAACGCAGTAAAATGCAGTAAAGAAACGCAGTAGAGTGCAGTAAAGAAACACAGTAAAGTGCAGTAAAGAAACACAGTAGAGTGCAGTAAAAAACGCAATAGAGTGAAGTAAAAAACGCAGTAGAGTGCAGTAAAGAAACGCAGAAGGACGCAGTAAAGAAACGCAATAGAGTGCAGCAAAGAAACAGAGTAGAATTCAGTAAAGAAACGCAGTAAAATGCAGTAAAGAAACGCAGTAGAGTGCAGTAAAAAAACACAGGAGAGTGCAGTAAAGAAACACAGGAGAGTGCAGTAAAGAAATGCAGTAGAGTGCAGTAAAAAACGCAGTAGAATTCAGTAAAGAAACACAGTAAAATGCCGTAAAGAAACGTAGTAGAGTGCAGTAAAGAAACTCAATAGAGTTCGGCAAAGAAACACAGTAGAATTCAGTAAAGAAACGCAGTAGAATTCAGTAAAGAAATGCAGTAAAATGTAGTAAAGAAATGCAGTAGAGTGCAGTAAAGACATTAGTAAAACATTTGTTGTTTCCACAGAGAGAGAGCAGAGTCTCCAGTGTCTGTGTCAGAGTCTATGAAGAGTGACTTTTCCAAAGACAAACCTCCAGACTTCAGTAATGAACCTGGACCCTCAGACATAAGTCACAAGTAAGAAACTGAAAGTAGAATTCAGTAAAGAAACATAGTAGAGTGCAGCAAAGAAACACAGTAGAATTCAGTTAAGAAACGCAGTAGAGTGCAGTAAAAAACGCAGTATAATTCAGTAAAGAAACGCAGTAAAATGCAGTAAAGAAACGCAGTAGAGTGCAGTAAAGAAACACAGTAAAGTGCAGTAAAGAAACGCAGTAGAGTGCAGTAAAAAACGCAATAGAGTGAAGTAAAAAACACAGTAGAGTGCAGTAAAGAAACGCAGTAGGACGCAGTAAAGAAACGCAATAGAGTGCAGCAAAGAAACAGAGTAGAATTCAGTAAAGAAACGCAGTAAAATGCAGTAAAGAAACGCAGTAGAGTGCAGCAAAGAAACACAGTAGAATTCAGTAAAGAAACGCAGTAAAATGCAGTAAAGAAACGCAATAGAGTGCAGTAAAGAAACGTAGTAGAGTGCAGTAAAAACGCAGTAGAATTCAGTAAAAACGCAGTAAAGTGCAGTAAAGAAACACAGTAGAGTGCAGTAAAAACGCAGTAGAATTCAGTAAAGTAACGCAGTAGAATGCAGTACAGAAACATAGTAGAGTTTAGTAAAAATGCAGTAGAATTCAGTAGAGAAACACAGTAAAATGCAGTAGAGTGCAGTAAAAAACCCAGTAGAATTGAGTAAAGAAACGCAGTAAAATGCAGTAAAGAAACGTAGTAGAGTGCAGTAGAAAATGCAGTAGAATTCAGTAAAAACGCAGTAGGTGCAGTAAAAACGCAATAGAGTGAAGTAAAAAACACAGTAGAGTGCAGTAAAGAAACGCAGAAGGACGCAGTAAAGAAACGCAATAGAGTGCAGCAAAGAAACAGAGTAGAATTCAGTAAAGAAACGCAGTAAAATGCAGTAAAGAAACACAGGAGAGTGCAGTAAAGAAACGCAGTAGAGTGCAGTAAAGAAACGCAGTAGAGTGCAGTAAAAAACGCAGTAGAATTCAGTAAAGAAACACAGTAAAATGCCGCAAAGAAACGTAGTAGAGTTCAGCAAAGAAACACAGTAGAATTCAGTAAAGAAACGCAGTAGAATTTAGTAAAGAAATGCAGTAAAAAACGCAGTAGAGTGCAGTAAAAAACGCAGTAGAGTGCAGTAAAGAAACACAGTAGAGTGCAGTAAAGAAATGCAGTAGAGTGCAGTGAAGAAATTAAGTAGAGTGCAGTAAAGATGCATACAAACAGAGAAATAAATATAATTACTTATTAATAAATGATGACCATGTGTGATGTTAATGTTCCCTCTGCTCTTTAAGTACTCATGATGTGTGTAAAACATTTGTTGTTTCCACGAGAGAGAGCAGAGTCTCCAGTGTCCGTGTCAGAGTCTATGAAGAGTGACTTTTCCAAAGACAAACCTCCAGACTTCAGTTATGAACCTGGACCCTCAGACATAAGTCACAAGTAAGAAACTGAAAGTAGAATTCAGTAAAGAAACATAGTAGAGTGCAGCAAAGAAACACAGTAGAATTCAGTAAAGAAACACAGTAGAGTGCAGTAAAAAACGCAGTAGAATTCAGTAAAGTAACGCAGTAGAATGCAGTACAGAAACATAGTAGAGTTTAGTTAAAAAATGCAGTAGAATTCAGTAGAGAAACACAGTAAAATGCAGTAGAGTGCAGTAAAAAACCCAGTAGAATTGAGTAAAGAAACGCAGTAAAATGCAGTAAAGAAACGTAGTAGAGTGCAGTAGAAAATGCAGTAGAATTCAGTAAAAAACGCAGTAGAGTGCAGTAAAAAACGCAGTAGAGTGTAGTAAAGAAACACAGTAGATTACAGTAAAGAAACGCAGTAGAGTGCAGTAAATAAACGCAGTAGAGTGCAGTAAAGAAACACAGTAGAGTGCAGTAAAGAAATGCAGTAGAGTGCAGTGAAGAAATTAAGTAGAGTGCAGTAAAGATGCATACAAACAGAGAAATAAATATAATTACTTATTAATAAATGATGACCATGTGTGATGTTAATGTTCCCTCTGCTCTTTAAGTACTCATGATGTGTGTAAAACATTTGTTGTTTCCACAGAGAGAGAGCAGAGTCTCCAGTGTCCGTGTCAGAGTCTATGAAGAGTGACTTTTCCAAAGACAAACCTCCAGACTTCAGTTATGAACCTGGACCCTCAGACATAAGTCACAAGTAAGAAACTGAAAGTAGAATTCAGTAAAGAAACATAGTAGAGTGCAGCAAAGAAACACAGTAGAATTCAGTAAAGAAACACAGTAGAGTGCAGTAAAAAAACGCAGTAGAATTCAGTAAAGAAACGCAGTAAAATGCAGTAAAGAAACGCAGTAGAGTGCAGTAAAGAAACACAGTAAAGTGCAGTAAAGAAACACAGTAGAGTGCAGTAAAAAACGCAATAGAGTGAAGTAAAAACGCAGTAGAGTGCAGTAAAGAAACGCAGAAGGACGCAGTAAAGAAACGCAATAGAGTGCAGCAAAGAAACAGAGTAGAATTCAGTAAAGAAACGCAGTAAAATGCAGTAAAGAAACGCAGTAGAGTGCAGTAAAAAAACACAGGAGAGTGCAGTAAAGAAACGCAGGAGAGTGCAGTAAAGAAACGCAGTAGAGTGCAGTAAAAAACGCAGTAGAATTCAGTAAAGAAACACAGTAAAATGCCGTAAAGAAACGTAGTAGAGTGCAGTAAAGAAACGCAATAGAGTTCAGCAAAGAAACACAGTAGAATTCAGTAAAGAAACGCAGTAGAATTCAGTAAAGAAATGCAGTAAAATGTAGTAAAGAAATGCAGTAGAGTGCAGTAAAGAAATTAGTAAAACATTTGTTGTTTCCACAGAGAGAGAGCAGAGTCTCCAGTGTCTGTGTCAGAGTCTATGAAGAGTGACTTTTCCAAAGACAAACCTCCAGACTTCAGTTATGAACCTGGACCCTCAGACATAAGTCACAAGTAAGAAACTGAAAGTAGAATTCAGTAAAGAAACATAGTAGAGTGCAGCAAAGAAACACAGTAGAATTCAGTTAAGAAACGCAGTAGAGTGCAGTAAAAACGCAGTATAATTCAGTAAAGAAACGCAGTAAAATGCAGTAAAGAAACGCAGTAGAGTGCAGTAAAGAAACACAGTAAAGTGCAGTAAAGAAACGCAGTAGAGTGCAGTAAAAACGCAATAGAGTGAAGTAAAAACACAGTAGAGTGCAGTAAAGAAACGCAGTAGGACGCAGTAAAGAAACGAATAGAGTGCAGCAAAGAAACAGAGTAGAATTCAGTAAAGAAACGCAGTAAAATGCAGTAAAGAAACGCAGTAGAGTGCAGCAAAGAAACACAGTAGAATTCAGTAAAGAAACGCAGTAAAATGCAGTAAAGAAACGCAATAGAGTGCAGTAAAGAAACGTAGTAGAGTGCAGTAAAAACGCAGTAGAATTCAGTAAAAACGCGTAAAGTGCAGTAAAGAAACACAGTAGAGTGCAGTAAAAACGAGTAGAATTCAGTAAAGTAACGCAGTAGAATGCAGTACAGAAACATAGTAGAGTTTAGTAAAAATGCAGTAGAATTCAGTAGAGAAACACAGTAAAATGCAGTAGAGTGCAGTAAAAAAACCCAGTAGAATTGAGTAAAGAAACGCAGTAAAATGCAGTAAAGAAACGTGTAGAGTGCAGTAGAAAATGCAGTAGAATTCAGTAAAAACGCAGTAGAGTGCAGTAAAGAAACACAGTAGAGTGCAGTAAAAACGCAGTAGAGTGTAGTAAAGAAACACAGTAGATTACAGTAAAGAAACGCAGTAGAGTGCAGTAAATAAACGCAGTAGAGTGCAGTAAAAACGCAGTAGAGTGCAGTAAAGAAACACAGTAGAGTGCAGTAAAAACGCAGTAGAGTGTAGTAAAGAAACACAGTAGATTACAGTAAAGAAACGCAGTAGAGTGCAGTAAATAAACGCAGTAGAGTGCAGTAAAAAACGCAGTAGAGTGTAGTAAAGAAACACAGTAGATTACAGTAAAGAAATGCAGTAGAGTGCAGTGAAGAAATTAAGTAGAGTGCAGTAAAGATGCATGCAAACAGAGAAATAAATATAATTACTTATTAATAAATGATGACCATGTGTGATGTTAATGTTCCCTCTGCTCTTTAAGTACTCATGATGTGTGTAAAACATTTGTTGTTTCCCAGAGAGAGCAGAGTCTCCAGTGTCCGTGTCAGAGTCTATGAAGAGTGACTTTTCCAAAGACAAACCTCCAGACTTCAGTTATGAACCTGGACCCTCAGACATAAGTCACAAGTAAGAAACTGAAAGTAGAATTCAGTAAAGAAACATAGTAGAGTGCAGCAAAGAAACACAGTAGAATTCAGTAAAGAAACGCAGTAGAGTGCAGTAAAAAACGCAGTAGAATTCAGTAAAGAAACGCAGTAAAATGCAGTAAAGAAACGCAGTAGAGTGCAGTAAAGAAACACAGTAAAGTGCAGTAAAGAAACGCAGTAGAGTGCAGTAAAAAACGCAATAGAGTGAAGTAAAAAACACAGTAGAGTGCAGTAAAGAAACGCAGTAGGACGCAGTAAAGAAACGCAATAGAGTGCAGCAAAGAAACAGAGTAGAATTCAGTAAAGAAACGCAGTAAAATGCAGTAAAGAAACGCAGTAGAGTGCAGCAAAGAAACACAGTAGAATTCAGTAAAGAAACGCAGTAAAATGCAGTAAAGAAACGCAATAGAGTGCAGTAAAGAAACGTAGTAGAGTGCAGTAAAAAACGCAGTAGAATTCAGTAAAAAACGCAGTAAAGTGCAGTAAAGAAACACAGTAGAGTGCAGTAAAAAACGCAGTAGAATTCAGTAAAGTAACGCAGTAGAATGCAGTACAGAAACATAGTAGAGTTTAGTAAAAAATGCAGTAGAATTCAGTAGAGAAACACAGTAAAATGCAGTAGAGTGCAGTAAAAAACCCAGTAGAATTGAGTAAAGAAACGCAGTAAAATGCAGTAAAGAAACGTAGTAGAGTGCAGTAGAAAATGCAGTAGAATTCAGTAAAAAACGCAGTAGAGTGCAGTAAAGAAACACAGTAGAGTGCAGTAAAAAACGCAGTAGAGTGTAGTAAAGAAACACAGTAGATTACAGTAAAGAAACGCAGTAGAGTGCAGTAAATAAACGCAGTAGAGTGCAGTAAAAAACGCAGTAGAGTGCAGTAAAGAAACACAGTAGAGTGCAGTAAAAACGCAGTAGAGTGTAGTAAAGAAACACAGTAGATTACAGTAAAGAAACGCAGTAGAGTGCAGTAAATAAACGCAGTAGAGTGCAGTAAAAACGCAGTAGAGTGTAGTAAAGAAACACAGTAGATTACAGTAAAGAAATGCAGTAGAGTGCAGTGAAGAAATTAAGTAGAGTGCAGTAAAGATGCATGCAAACAGAGAAATAAATATAATTACTTATTAATAAATGATGACCATGTGTGATGTTAATGTTCCCTCTGCTCTTTAAGTACTCATGATGTGTGTAAAACATTTGTTGTTTCCACAGAGAGAGAGCAGAGTCTCCAGTGTCCGTGTCAGAGTCTATGAAGAGTGACTTTTCCAAAGACAAACCTCCAGACTTCAGTTATGAACCTGGACCCTCAGACATAAGTCACAAGTAAGAAACTGAAAGTAGAATTCAGTAAAGAAACATAGTAGAGTGCAGCAAAGAAACACAGTAGAATTCAGTAAAGAAACGCAGTAGAGTGCAGTAAAAAACGCAGTAGAATTCAGTAAAGAAACGCAGTAAAATGCAGTAAAGAAACGCAGTAGAGTGCAGTAAAGAAACACAGTAAAGTGCAGTAAAGAAACGCAGTAGAGTGCAGTAAAAAACGCAATAGAGTGAAGTAAAAAACACAGTAGAGTGCAGTAAAGAAACGCAGAAGGACGCAGTAAAGAAACGAAATAGAGTGCAGCAAAGAAACAGAGTAGAATTCAGTAAAGAAACGCAGTAAAATGCAGTAAAGAAACACAGTAGAGTGCAGTAAAAAACACAGGAGAGTGCAGTAAAGAAACGCAGTAGAGTGCAGTAAAAACGCAGTAGAATTCAGTAAAGAAACACAGTAAAATGCCGCAAAGAAACGTAGTAGAGTTCAGCAAAGAAACACAGTAGAATTCAGTAAAGAAACGCAGTAGAATTTAGTAAAGAAATGCAGTAAAATGTAGTAAAGTGCAGTAAAAAACGCAGTAGAGTGCAGTAAAGAAACGCAGTAGAGTGCAGTAAATAAACGCAGTAGAGTGCAGTAGAAAACGCAGTAGAGTGCAGTAAAAAACCCAGTAGAGTGTAGTAAAGAAACACAGTAGATTACAGTAAAGAAATGCAGTAGAGTGCAGTGAAGAAATTAAGTAGAGTGCAGTAAAGATGCATGCAAACAGAGAAATAAATATAATTACTTATTAATAAATGATGACCATGTGTGATGTTAATGTTCCCTCTGCTCTTTAGTACTCATGATGTGTGTAAAACATTTGTTGTTTCCACAGAGAGAGAGCAGAGTCTCCAGTGTCCGTGTCAGAGTCTATGAAGAGTGACTTTTCCAAAGACAAACCTCCAGACTTCAGTTATGAACCTGGACCCTCAGACATAAGTCACAAGTAAGAAACTGAAAGTAGAATTCAGTAAAGAAACATAGTAGAGTGCAGCAAAGAAACACAGTAGAATTCAGTAAAGAAACACAGTAGAGTGCAGTAAAAACGCAGTAGAATTAACAGTAAAATGCAGTAAAGAAACGCAGTAGAGTGCAGTAAAGAAACACAGTAAAGTGCAGTAAAGAAACACAGTAGAGTGCAGTAAAAACGCAATAGAGTGAAGTAAAAACAGTAGAGTGCAGTAAAGAAACGCAGAAGGACGCAGTAAAGAAACGCAATAGAGTGCAGCAAAGAAACAGAGTAGAATTCAGTAAAGAAACGCAGTAAAATGCAGTAAAGAAACGCAGTAGAGTGCAGTAAAAAACACAGGAGAGTGCAGTAAAGAAACACAGGAGAGTGCAGTAAAGAAATGCAGTAGAGTGCAGTAAAAAACGCAGTAGAATTCAGTAAAGAAACACAGTAAAATGCCGCAAAGAAACGTAGTAGAGTGCAGTAAAGAAACTCAATAGAGTTCGGCAAAGAAACACAGTAGAATTCAGTAAAGAAACGCAGTAGAATTCAGTAAAGAAATGCAGTAAAATGTAGTAAAGAAATGCAGTAGAGTGCAGTAAAGAAATTAGTAAAACATTTGTTGTTTCCACAGAGAGAGAGCAGAGTCTCCAGTGTCTGTGTCAGAGTCTATGAAGAGTGACTTTTCCAAAGACAAACCTCCAGACTTCAGTAATGAACCTGGACCCTCAGACATAAGTCACAAGTAAGAAACTGAAAGTAGAATTCAGTAAAGAAACATAGTAGAGTGCAGCAAAGAAACACAGTAGAATTCAGTTAAGAAACGCAGTAGAGTGCAGTAAAAAACGCAGTATAATTCAGTAAAGAAACGCAGTAAAATGCAGTAAAGAAACGCAGTAGAGTGCAGTAAAGAAACACAGTAAAGTGCAGTAAAGAAACGCAGTAGAGTGCAGTAAAAAACGCAATAGAGTGAAGTAAAAAACACAGTAGAGTGCAGTAAAGAAACGCAGTAGGACGCAGTAAAGAAACGCAATAGAGTGCAGCAAAGAAACAGAGTAGAATTCAGTAAAGAAACGCAGTAAAATGCAGTAAAGAAACGCAGTAGAGTGCAGCAAAGAAACACAGTAGAATTCAGTAAAGAAACGCAGTAAAATGCAGTAAAGAAACGCAATAGAGTGCAGTAAAGAAACGTAGTAGAGTGCAGTAAAAACGCAGTAGAATTCAGTAAAAAACGCAGTAAAGTGCAGTAAAGAAACACAGTAGAGTGCAGTAAAAAACGCAGTAGAATTCAGTAAAGTAACGCAGTAGAATGCAGTACAGAAACATAGTAGAGTTTAGTAAAAAATGCAGTAGAATTCAGTAGAGAAACACAGTAAAATGCAGTAGAGTGCAGTAAAAAACCCAGTAGAATTGAGTAAAGAAACGCAGTAAAATGCAGTAAAGAAACGTAGTAGAGTGCAGTAGAAAATGCAGTAGAATTCAGTAAAAAACGCAGTAGAGTGCAGTAAAAAACGCAGTAGAGTGTAGTAAAGAAACACAGTAGATTACAGTAAAGAAACGCAGTAGAGTGCAGTAAATAAACGCAGTAGAGTGCAGTAAAAAACGCAGTAGAGTGCAGTAAAGAAACACAGTAGAGTGCAGTAAAAAACGCAGTAGAGTGTAGTAAAGAAACACAGTAGATTACAGTAAAGAAACGCAGTAGAGTGCAGTAAATAAACGCAGTAGAGTGCAGTAAAAAACGCAGTAGAGTGCAGTAAAAAACCCAGTAGAGTGTAGTAAAGAAACACAGTAGATTACAGTAAAGAAATGCAGTAGAGTGCAGTGAAGAAATTAAGTAGAGTGCAGTAAAGATGCATGCAAACAGAGAAATAAATATAATTACTTATTAATAAATGATGACCATGTGTGATGTTAATGTTCCCTCTGCTCTTTAAGTACTCATGATGTGTGTAAAACATTTGTTGTTTCCACAGAGAGAGAGCAGAGTCTCCAGTGTCCGTGTCAGAGTCTATGAAGAGTGACTTTTCCAAAGACAAACCTCCAGACTTCAGTAATGAACCTGGACCCTCAGACACAGAGAGTCTAATGTAAGTCCTGAAGAACTGCTGATTTATTACAGAGGAAACTGAGTCTGAAATTGAACTCCTTGCTCACCACCATTGTTGATGCAGTCTGTCTGGTCCGGTGCAGTGTGATGTGATTGAAGCAGCCAGTAAAACTTATCAAGCCGGTCTGGTATACTATATATGGTATACTTTTTTCTGAGTATAGAAATAATCATGTCAAAGGGGTTTATAAGTCTTACCTGAAATTTGAAGCAAAAGAGATGAATGCAACTTCTGAGCCATGGTTGGGTCTTCCTGAATGTAATGTGTTAATCTCCACAGAGAGAGGAAGACCAGTGGTGTTTCTGTGGAGGAGCAGCTATCCGGCTGTGCTTTGTGTCAGGACATCCTGAAGGATCCGGTCTCTACTTGCTTACTTGAGTGGGACCAGTCTGCTTCATCAGGAGTCTCCTCTCTTCAGTGTGAAGAAATATACAGAACAACCTGTCAGACCAGCACTCTACAAAGTAAGATCTGTCAACTGATGTCAGGCTTTCTTGTTTTGTACAGCAAGATTTTTCTAAAAAACTTGCCACTAGGGGGTCTCTCACCTCTAAACAATATGAAAATATCAAGTTTGATGAGGTGGTGAAGCAGCGTGGGATCATGGGAATTGTTGTCTTCACCACCATTGGCCTTCATTACAGTCAGCTTCTCCCGGTTAGGATTCCTTCAGTGTTCATGGTTCAGGAGGTTTCTACCGGGAGCCCAATTATCCACAGAGGTCTCCTCCTCTCCAAAACAAACAGACCCACTGATTAAAACCACTAAACACACTGAATAAAGCAGTTCCACCTTAAAAATCACTGCTTCTCCCACGCTGTTCGACAGACAAAGGATGTCCCGGAGGGGCGGGTTTGAGCATTGGTAGAAACATTTGGTTTAATGAAAGTACACAACTCAACTACATATATAGCAAAGGTCTTGTGTTTATAGACATTGTACTGCAGAAATTTTACATATTAGAGCTTGAAACTAATCACCAGACAATGTGTTCTTCTCCTTCAACAGATAGTGGTCTGCAGGATATTTTAGATGAACATAAGATCAGTCTGAAGAAGAGATGTGAATGTGTGACTGAAGGAACTGATGAAACAGGAAGTGGAACCCTCCTCAACAGGATCTACACTGAGCTCTACATCACAGAGGGACAGAGTGAAGAGGTTAATACCCAACATGAGGTGAGACAGCTTGAGACAGCTTCCAAGATGGAGACCCTCCATGAGACTCCAATCAAGTGCCACGACATCTTTAAAGCCTTACCTGACCAACAAAGAGACATCAGAGTCGTTCTGACGAACGGCGTCGCTGGCGTTGGAAAAACCTTCTCAGTGCAGAAGTTCACTCTGGACTGGGCAGAGGGCTTGGAAAACCAAGATGTCAGTCTGGTGGTTCTGCTTTCGTTCAGGGAGCTGAACCTGATCAAAGATGAGCGGTACAGTCTTCTCAGGCTGCTCCATGTTTTCCATCCAACATTACAGAAGGTCACAGCAGAGCAGCTCGCTGTCTGTAAACTTTTGTTCATCTTTGACGGCCTGGATGAAAGCAGACTTTCACTGGATTTCCACAACAATGAGGTTGTGTTTGACGTCACACAGAAGTCTTCAGTCAACGTGCTGTTGACAAACCTCATCAAGGGGAATCTGCTTCCCTCGGCTCTCGTCTGGATAACTTCCAGACCTGCAGCAGCCAATCAGATCCCTCCAGAATGTGTTGATAGGATAACAGAAGTACGAGGCTTCACTGACGCCCAGAAGGAGGAGTACTTCAGGAGGAGATTCAGTGATGAAGATCTGTCCAACAGGATCATCTCACACATCAAGACCTCCAGGAGCCTCCACATCATGTGTCTAATCCCAGTCTTCTGCTGGATCACTTCTGCAGTTCTGGACCACATGTTGACTACAGACCAGAGAGGAGAGCTGCCCAAGACCCTGACTGACATGTATTCACACTTCCTGCTGGTTCAGACAAAGAGGAAGAAGCAGAAGTATGATGAGGGTCATGAGACAAGTCCACAGGAGCTGATGGAGGCTGACAGGAAGGTTATTCTGAAGCTGGGGAGGCTGGCGTTTAAACATCTGGAGAAAGGAAACATCATGTTCTACCAAGAAGACCTGGAGCAATGTGGTCTTGATGTCTCAGAGGCCTCGGTGTACTCAGGAGTTTGTACAGAGATCTTCAAAAGAGAGAGTGTGATCTTCCAGAAAACAGTCTACTGCTTTGTTCATCTGAGCATTCAGGAGTTTCTGGCTGCAGTCTACATGTTCCACTGTTACACCAACAGGAACACAAAGGTACTGAAGGGTTTTTTGGGGAAAGACTGGAACTATGACATGAATGATGCCAATGAATACCCATCCCTGGATGTCGTCTTGAAGGGAGCCATGGCGAAATCCCTTAAAAGCAAAACCGGCCGCCTGGACCTGTTTGTCCGCTTCCTCCACGGCCTCTCTCTGGAGTCCAACCAGGGACTTTTAGGAGGCCTGCTGGGTCAGACAGACAACAGTCCAGAAATCATCCAGAGAGCCATCGACAACCTTAAAAAGAAGAAAACCGATATCTCTCCTGACAGAAGCATCAATATCTTCTACTGTCTGATGGAGATGAATGACCACTCAGTCCATCAGGAGATGCAAGAGTTCCTGAAGTCAGAGAACAGATCAGAGAAGGCACTCTCTGCAATCCACTGCTCAGCTCTGTCCTACATGCTGCAGATGTCAGAGGAGGTTCTGGATGAGTTGGACCTGGAGAAGTACAACACAACATCAGAGGGAAGACAGAGACTGATTCCAGCTGTGAGGAACTGCAGAAAGGCTGTGTAAGTTTAGATGTGCTTGAATATAGGAATCACTGCATTTTTGTTACCTTAGAAAGAGACGCTTCCATGGAGTTCGCCATGTTTCTACAGTAGCGAAGACAAACCAAATACAGAGGCAATTTGTTTGATTTTTTTTTTTTTTTTAGCGATGTGCAAACCTGGTAGAACAAATAAAGGACTTTACAGGTTGTAGTTGAGGTTTTATCACAGCAGTGAAGTAACATAATATAAATCTAATCTAAAAATCACTTTTACGTCACTGTTACGTCATCTCTCGAAATGCACAAAAAAAACTTTGACAACTTTGCTAACACAGCCAAACATCCAGAAAGTGCAACACGACATTGCAAGCCAATATTATTAGTCCAATAGCAAGAAGGCCAGCTCGCCATCTGTGTGCAGCACTTGGCCGCACTCTCCCTATTACAAGTCAGTGTGGCATCAAAATGATTTTGAAGCAGTTATTTTGAGGTAAATTTGTTGCATTATGTTGCTTTAAATAACATTAACCACTGCAAACTACTCTCGACACAAAGATAAAGACTGTGTTACTGCAATCTCACTGTTGTAAATATGGATAGCTGTACACGTGCATTTGTTACGATTAATCAAAACATTGCCATCAAATGAATGAAGTAAATATGAAGTTTTGTGTCTCACGGTTGCATATTTTGATATATATGTGACACGACAGACTTTCTGGCTGTGGACTCTCAGAGACTCACTGTGAAGTTGTGGCCTCGGCTCTGAAGTCCAACCCCTCCCATCTGATAGAGCTGGACCTGAGTAACAACTACCTGCGGGATTCAGGAGTGAAGCTGCTGTCTGCTGGACTGGAGTGTCCAAACTGTAGACTGAAGACTCTGAGGTCAGTTCACTGGGAAGGGACCACTTCACAGTCAGTATGAATGATTACTGCCAACAATAACTCTTTTAATTTACATATGGCATGTGGCTGTTTGCTCCAGTAGTTCCTGCCCAGGTCCTTTGATGCACGTCATTTCGACAAATGTAGACCTTCCTTTTAATCAAGCTACCAAATAATAATGGTGGTGACATTTGGATGATAGCTGCAGACGGCTGACATGATGATGATCCACAATAACAGGATGACAAGGACACTATGCACATTTTAGGGAACAGCTCATTGATTGAGGCAGAGGTCTCAAACTCAACTTGGCAACCAAACAACCATTATTTTGCTCCAAACAAACTACATTTTTAAAAATAGAATTGTCTTTTTATTTTCATTGTACCTGAGTTTAAATTGACATGAAACGACTAGAAAACAAAGGACCAAAAATTTGAGTTTGAGATCCCTGGATTAGTGCATATAATGTTGAACTACACATTTAATTGATGTTTATTTACATCGTTTCTTCTTTCTTCAGATTGAGCTCCTGCAATTTGTCAGCAACCAGCTGTGATTACCTGGCCTCAGCTCTGAAGACCAACCCCTCCCATTTGAGAGAGCTGGAGCTGACAAATAACAAAAACATGCAGGATTCAGGAGTAAAGTTGCTGTGTGGTTTTCTGGAGAGTCCACACTGTAGACTGGAGACATTAAGGTCAGTCAGTCAAAAACAGGCGTACAGAAGCACCGTTGACCTTATTGCAACTCAGTGTGGGATCAGAATGTTTTGATGCTGTTATTTTAAGGTACAAAAGTTACATAATGGGGCTTTTTAAGTTATTAAATGGATCATTATCTATATAATGTATTCTTTATTCAGATTGTGGGGCTGCAGGTTGTCGGAGAGCAGCTGTGCCTCTCTGGGCTCAGCTCTGAAGTCCAACCCCTCCCATCTGAGAGAGCTGCAGCTGAGTAACAATGACGAGCTGCAGGATTCAGGAGTGAAGCTGCTGTGTGGTTTCCTGGAGAGTCCACACTGTAGACTGGAGATTCTGCGGTCAGTTCACTGACTGATTGTTACTATTGTTAAGTGGGCTTCAAAATCAGAGGGCTGTTTCACAAAAGCAGAATTAAGAAATCCAGGATAAAAGAAAAACAACAACTCAACAACTTATATAACATAGGTTAAGTGTTTATAGACATTTTAATGTGGAAAACGTTGTGGAAATGTTCACATTTCCCTAAAATTCATCCTGACATATTTGTCTTCTTTGGAAACTTGGGATCTTCAGTTGAATCTTAAATCACTTCCATCAGTTGTGGCACAAAATGAGTTTGAATAGATGGAGCTGCTGGCTGAGTTAAAGAGGTGAAGTCACTGATCAGGAACATTGTCCTCTAAAGGTAATCATTTGTTCTTTATTCAGACTGAGTGACTGCAGGTTGTCAGAGGTCAGCTGTGGTTCTCTGGCGTCAGCGCTGAAGTCCAACCCCTCCCATCTGAGAGAGCTGGAGCTGTGGGGAAATGACCTGAAGGATTCAGGAGTGAAGCTGCTGTGTGGTTTTCTGGAGAGTCTACACTGTAAACTGGGAGCTCTGAGGTCAGTTCATTTGACTCTGTTACTGATGAACCTAACTGGCCCAACCCAAATGTACATACATTACATACATCCACACATTTGTAGATTTACTTTTGCAGAAAAAATATTTAATGTGTTTTTACAAATAATACAATTTGGATTTTAATCGACATGATTTATGTTCTTCATTCAGATTGAGTTGGTGCAGTTTGTCAGAGATCAGCTGTGATTATCTGGCCTCAGCTCTGAAGTCCAACCCCTCCCATCTGACAGAGCTGGACCTGAGTAACAACAAGCTGCATGATTCAGGAGTTGAGCTGCTGTGTGATATCCTGGAGAGTCCAGACTGTAGACTGGAGACTCTGGGGTCAGTTCACTGATTGCTACTATTGTTAAGTTTAAAATCAGCAGGCTATTTCACGAAAGCAGAATTAAGAAACACAGGGTAACTGCCAAAGCGAGGCTAGTCTAGTCAGAGCATCCTGGCTTTATAGTAGGGCTGCTCGATTATGGAAAGAATCATAATCACAATTATTTGGGTCAAAATTGAAATCACGATTATTCAAATGATTATTTTTTTAAACTTCAGAAACATGCTGCATTTATTGGACATTTGTCAAAAACACTTTGCAAGGAAGTCCTCAGTTACACTTTCCTTTCCCCATAAACATTTGTAAGTCTCCGGTTACCTGTTCAAACGAAAACAACGTGACAGGAGAAGATGGCAAATAGTGTCGCGACCAACGGCGCAAGTATAAATAGTTATGGCGCTCCTGTGACTTCACATTGTCGCGCGACAGGTCGGGAACGGCGAGTATACCGAGCGCATGACGTGCAGTGCTTGCTGCGGGGGAGGGGCGGAAAATACGCATGCGCGAAATACGCAGACTGTGGCTGTGTCCCAATTCAGGGGCTCAGCTTTTTTCTATACAACGCTGCACAACAGAAAATGGAAAAAAAATCGTTTCCCTCCGATTTTATTAGTTTTGAGATCGTTTGGCCCCAAAATCGTAATCTTGATCAAATTTCGATTAATTGAGCAGCCTCACGTTATAGGTTTCACGTAGGCTGAGCTCAGCCGAGGAGGCTGAACTAGATGAAGCTGTTCACAGCTTTTATTCAACAGACAACAAAGTCGATCACAGATTTACTGATGTCGAAACAGAGATGATGTATTAAAGCTGCAGTAGGTTCCTCCAGCTCCTCCTCGTGCTCCTAATGGCATTTGCATGAATCCACCGGGCTCTAACAGAGACAACCAATGAGAGCCGAGAAAGACAAAATAAACTTACAGGAAGCTAAACAGGTGTACGCAAATACTAATATTATATATTATACTAATAAAGCTGCATCGCTCACACATTCAATTGTCTCCCAAATGAATGGAAACAACACATGAAACAGAAATCAGAGTGCTGTTTGATATGTCGCTGAGCAGCAGCTCTCACGTGTTGGTAAACCATTTAATTAGCTAAATAAAAAGACAAAAATCTCCCCAAATATCTTATTATTATTTATTCTTTATTCAGGTTGAGGGGCTGCCGGTTGACAGAGATCAGCTGTGCCTCTCTGTTCTCAGTGCTGCAGTCCAACCCCTCCCATCTGAGAGAGCTGGACCTGAGTGACAACAAGCTGCAGGATTCAGGAGTGAAGCTGCTCTCTTATCATAAAGAGAGTCCACACTACAGACTGGACACTCTGAGGTCAGTAAGAGGGTCTGACACAGTCCAGGGCCGCTTCAGCAGTATTATACTAAACATAGGGAGGTTTACAGATGTATGGGATTTTAAAGTAGAATAAAAAAAAGGTTGCAGTTTTTTGGATCTAGACAGAACATGAATGTCAGCAAACAATTGTTTTAAACTTGATCTGTAACTTTTGTGTTTGTCCCTTCAGCATCGATGCAGCTGAGAAATCATTGGGTAAGTTTAACTTTAGATGTTTTCCTGGACTTAAACATCCAACTTCATTCAACGATCATTCTGAGTACAGAGGAAGGATTTAGTGGTGCCTACCGGTGTAGTTGCAGATTGACACCCCCTTCTTCACCCTCCACTTCCAAACAGGAAGGCTCATGGAGAGGGTGCTGGAGGTATCTCGTTAATTCAGGAAAAGTATCTCTTAATTATGATATAATAAGTCATAATTGTTTGGATTTTTTTCCCAATGCAATACGCTTCTTTACAATTCATTCAAACTGAAGAAATCCTGTATCAAATGCTTCTTACTGAGCAGTCTTTTGACATTTCAGCTCTGGTGGCTGCGTAGGATTATTTCCAACTCACATGATTAAACAATTCCAATAACTCCAGAGCATTTCAAAGTCCAAAAGTCAAAATGTATTGAAAGAAATTATGATATTAATGTCTCTTCTCCTCTGCATCAGAGGTCAAACCGAAAGAAAACCTGCCAGAGGACAATGAAAAGGTGAGAGAACAGAAAACAAACTTTACTTGGACATTTATTGTTTCACCACTGACAACAGAAATTACACTTGTGAATTTAAATCATTGTCATGTAGAGTTTCAATTCTTTCTGACAAGAAGTGGCATAATCAGTCAAACAAATACTGTATGTAATAAAGATCTTTGTTTTGCAATGAGAAAAACAAACTGGGGAAAAGAGACGTTTTCCGTTGTGAAAATTAAAAAAACTTTGTTCCCCATATTTATAAATGGTGGAAACAGCTTGTTTAGCCATTTTTGGATTCTTCATTTTAAATCAGAAATCCGTTAGCTGCAACGTACGCTTAATTAAAATTAAAAGTTTCTATTAAAATAACTAACTTTGTGTATTTTTAATTCTAGACTCCTTCACCCTTCTCACCTGTAGTGATACCAAAAAATTATGGATCTGAGTACAGGTAATCCTATAAAATGACAATGACTGATTAGATGTGTTTTCCTGATATTTTAAGGAACATTTTATACAACTCTGTCTATATTATGTATTGTCTTTATTTTTAACAATTATAAATACCTAATCAGCTTATTTTTTTATGTTTCCTGATGCTTGGCCATTGTTCTGTTAGCTATTTGGTGGTAGACAGTCAGATCAGGCAAATGAATCCATAAGGGGCCGGTATATAAATACTGAGAGACTAATCTGGGAAATGGGGAGCAGGTGGCTGGAGGTGACGGGAATGCTGGGAAAAGGGGAATCACCCAGTCAACAGACCCATAAATATATACAGAATATATAATAATATGTCACTAATCCTCCTACAGGTTCATGTGTCCTGCTCCAGGCCTGTACCAGTGCACTGTGACTGGACTGGTGTTCGGTATGGCTCAGAAGGCGGAGCTGCGCTACCGGACTGTCCTATGGGACGAAAGCCAACTCAAATCAGCTTGCAAGATGGCTGCAGGGCCGCTGTTCAACATCCAGTGCTCTGACGATGCTGTCCGCCAGCTCCGCCTCCCACACTGTGAAACAAAGGAAGGTAAAGACATCGTCGCGTTGAACGTTGAAACACACATTCGTAAAGTAGTAGCAGGAGTATTAAACGAGTAAAATGTGTCAATATCTGTGCTCGGAAAAATACTTTTAGTAGAAAAACTGTAAATAGTTTGCTTCCTCTTGTGGTCAAAAACATTGCTCCGCTTTATCGCTCCTACAAACACACAACTATCAGTGATTTGGGTAAAACTGGATCATATTTTATGGAGAGAATATTGTCTCTGTCGTCCTCCGGCTGCAGTGGTACCGATGTGATTTACAAAGTCTCCAGATGGACCAACTGCCACCAACAATAATGTTAGATGCTATTAGAGTCAGTCCCTGTCATCATACTGGCCTCCGTCGGCATCGAATGTTGTATTCAGCCCCGGTCTGGAGGTGCTGTCCACTAATAGGTCCGCTACAGCTGCTTGACATTGGCTACCACAACAAGTCCCAACCCTAGCTGCCTGTTTTTACAGGAAATATGTAAATATGTCTAAGAATGTACTGTTAGTCCCACCCACTTACAGTTTACTCTCATTTGTGGTTTAGGCTCCGCCCACTCCGAGTACAGCTACTGATACAGATAATTTAGTTATAGATACAGATAGAGATAATGGTGTGCTCGCTCATCCCTAGTTTATGCATTACAGTAAATGCACACATCCATACAGATCATTTGGAAAATAATAATATAATATAAAACAAAGGTTTACCAGCTGTTTACCCTCCCAGGGTTGCTTCTCCGTGGCCTGTTGTCGGTTGTCCACGTCACTGATGATGGGATGAGCATCTTGGAGCCGCTGGAGATTACAGACACGCATGTGGTTGTGAAGATCCCTCACCTGTCCGCCTTCGGCCTGGTCTGGGATATTATTAAACGGCTTCTTTTCACACAAATAAACGGACAGGTCCTGCTGTTCCTTCGACCCCAGTACATCAACTCGGGGCATCAAATACTCGATGTGTTTGTGCTGCCGGACACCATCCCTGTGCGTGAGGTAAAGCTATCAGCCGTATGTGCGTACCATCAGCCTGAACTTGTGTGTTAAGGAACAGAGCTTCCACCAAGAGGCCACTTTAAGTTTTTACTATTTTAAACAAATACTGTAGTTATTTACTATTTCAGAGATACCTCCACAGTGAACAGTGGCCTAAATTAGTTCCTCAGATGGATCTCTCTGCCTATAGACAGAGATAATTTCATTAAGATTACCATACCTCTAAGGTTTCCCGGTGGATTCTTGCAGATACCATTAAGAGCACTAGGAGGAGCCAGAGGAACCTGATTTATGTCCTGCTGTAAGGATATAGTGTCAGTGTTCATGTGTTGTTTCCAATGCGTTCCTGCAGGTTGCAGACCAACAAAAAGATGCTGAGTACATCAGGATCTCTGCCGACTGTCATGTCAGGATTGATGAAACTTACAGTGTCCACTGTGAACCTGAGGCCTTCATCATACAGCCTGAGGTGAGTCAGGTCTCTCCTAGCAGTTCAATATTGGCTGCCTGTTGAAAATGGATTCACAGCAAACAAAAAATGTATAATTTTGGTTTCGGTTTTGTTTGTCAGAGTGCACCATTTCGCTCAAAGCCTGGACCGAATTACCATCCAACATTTGAAGTTTTCCTGACTATAGACGTGGGGAAAGTGACTTTGACGGTCTGTGACAAAAACAGGACAGAAGTCTGGAAACGTAATGTGTATCTGAAAGGTAAGTTTAAACCCTCAGTGGTTCCCAATCTTTTCTTTAAGGGAGCCCCTTTCTATCATTAAAGAGGCTTTTTTGTTTGTCTGGTCATGATACATACGTGTACAGATATCAGTTTTCATCAGTTTTCATGTGCAAGATTGGGTTTTCAACTGGCCGCTGCTCAGGACCCAATGAACATTTGTATTGTTTTGCTAGCAGCCAGTCACCACAAGCATTCTTTGTCACCCAGATGCGAGGGCCCGTTGGTGATTGTTGGTTATTAAACAAAAGTCTTTTTCTTGGTTTTCTTAAAGGTCCAATTTGGGAACTTCAGCAGAGGAATCTCCCGGCTGAGGACAGGCTGCTCTCAATCAGGAGTCAGTTCGTTAAAAGAGTGTCTGAACCGGTCCTGCACCAACTTCTGGATAAACTTCTTGAGTGTCGCATTATAAATGATGAAGAAAAGCAGTCGGTCACAAAAAAAGTAAAAGCAGACAAAGCACGAGATATTATTGACATGGTGAGAAGCAAGGGAACGAAAGCCAGCTCGAGCTTTATCCGTGCGCTCTGTCAGGAGGATAAATGCCTTTCCTCAGAGCTGAACTTATGCTGAAGCAAAAGCAACTTACAACCTGGACTACACTGGATGGTCGTTGAGCAGGAGAAGCATTTTATTAAGAGGTTGTGTCTGCAAACATGAACTAAAACAGACAGATGCTGAGACTGTTATTAAAGAAACACAGACAGACAATTTAAATTGTCATCAGACCTTTTAAAGCCAAAGAAGAACCAATCAGCTGCTGATCTTAAAGTTCTTGATAAAGTTCTTAAATAAGTAATCACTGAACCACCGTACATCTGTGTTACACCTTCCAAAAAAATAAGGCAGAAATTCCTTTGGACATCATCTGCTCGTCTTTACATCCCATTTTTTGTTTAGTCCTCATACAAAGGATCTGTGGTGTTTCTCCACTGTCAAATGTCCCCTCGCTGCAGTGGCCCAGGGTTTGAATTCGACCTGTGGGCCTTTGCTAAGTGTCACCCCCTCGCTCTCTACCCCGTTCCTGTCACTCTTCAGCTGTCACTTCTGTTAATACTAGTGTGAAATTCAGTTCAATTTCAATTAAGTGAAATGAATTTTATTTTGAAAAATGTGGACCATGACTGTTCAACCATCCAGAACACTTCAAAAAAGGTTTTCAACTCATGGGAGCGTGCCATGTCATCTTTGTTTCAATCTAATCGCATCTTTCCATTGATCTCCTAGATACAGATAAATCTCCTTGATTTATCTGTATTTATCTCTGTAAAGGTCTGTTTGCTGTATCACATCAGTGGCACAAACAACGGTCGGAACAGCTTTCGTGTTTGAAGGGCCAGTGTGTAGGATTTAGTGGCATCTAGCGGTTGCAGATCACATCTCCCTCGCTTCACCCTGTGGAAGGCGACCAGCTGCTTCTGCAGATAGAAACGTCTCATTCTAAAGTGACAAAAACACATTCTTATTTTCAGTTGATTAAACACTAATGAAAACGCAGTTATGCAGATGTTATTCCATTCATGCCGATAGATCCTCATAAATGTTACACACTGGACCTTTAAACTTCCGGCCTGTTTTAGTAATATGAAATAAAATGGTGCCCCAGTGGTTTTCAGTCTTTTATGGGTTCAAACCTGCATGTTTGGTAAGGTTTTTTTTTTCCATGAACATTAACATTATCGTGCTGCTGTATTCTGGCTATGTATCTGGATTTTTATACATTATTTTTTAATAATGTAATTAAAGTTACCAACTGTAGTACCCTACATACATCAAACACTGTTGTGTTTTTCCAAGAATGAATAACAAAAAAGCTGAAAATGATGCAGAGGTATATATTATCTGACGGTGGCCTGAAACCAGAAGATAAGACAGAGCGAGGAACTAATAACTAATGCTAGGTGTTATTATGGGTCCGGTTTCATGTTCTAGCTGCTCACTGAACCCAAATGGAGGTTTGAGTTTATTTAGGTGGCTCTTTACTCTCTCGGCTCCCAACAACAAGACCAGCTCTTTGTTTGTTCTGTTGATTTCACCAGTTTTGTTCTTTTGGTAAATAGATTATATTCTTTTGGTGTTGGGTCCCTCTTTGTGTTGTAACATAACAGGGACTCGTCAGAAGCTCAGTTTTGAGTAGGTGAGTTCATTTTTTGTACTGCTGGATCTTTTTCTATTTTTCCATCTGTCAGTAGTGTCATCCTGATGTTGCCACATGAGGCTGAGCTGGTTTTGTAGGTCTGTGTTGGTGTTGGAGAGACCATCACCACTGTTTGTGCAGTAACCCTGGGGTGGCCTCTGGCGTGCTCAGGTAAGCCAACGAAGACTAGGAGTACAATTTATTATCTAGACAGAAACCTTGTAAGAGTAGGTCAGTTAGATCTGTCAACTTCTAATGTAGTGATAGCATGTGGTGGCATTTGTGCAGGTCTTTGTGTGACTGTAGGGAGTTCGAGCATTTCTATTTTTGTTATGCGCAGTAGTTTGTGAAATGCTATGTTGCAGTTTTTATTCTTGAACATTTGCAACCCTGATTAATTACATATATAAGAAAAAAAGACAAACCTTTCAGATTATAATAAAGTGAGGGTTCAACACATACATACTCTCTCTGTCTTCGACATTCACACAAATAATATTCAGAGGAGGAAGAGGAGGAGTGTTGTTCTTTGTTTTAGCCACTAGATGGAGACAAAACTTCACTGATGAAAGAAGAAGCAGCTGTAGCGTCAGACAGATGTGAAGGTTATATATCTCTTGTGACGGCAGTTCTCACAATTTTTTTTTCTATTTTTACAAACAAAACAATCAATCAATGGAGGAAAAAAGGAGAAAGTCAGGAGTTTAAACATTTTTTATAAACTAATTAACATTCTAACTAATTTTCATTCTGCATCAGTTTTAGTAGGTTTTCCATTGTATGTTGACAGAGAATCTATTAAGGAAACATTTAAGAGATTCAAATGAAAGTAAAAAATGTGACAACCAATCCTACGGAAGATACGTAAGAGGAAAACGGGAAAAAAATGTTTAGTTTTAGTAGAGATTAATCTTTTTTCTCTTTACTTTGAACTCTTGTAGCCCTGATCCTCTTCCACACAACCCTGTTTTCCCCTAAACATATAAGTAATATTGTTAATAAGCAAAGGAACTGAGTACTTCCTCCACCACTGGACCCTCCTCCTCTTCCTCCTCCTCCTCCTCCTCCTCCCTCCTCCTCCTCCTTCTCCTCCTCCTCCTCCTGTGTGTCATTAATCTCACACCTCCCTCCCATTGACAGTATATCTCCTCCACTCAGTTTTAAACCTGCACCGGGAGCTCAGACGGCAGACGGCTGCTGTTGCAGGAGCTGCTTCCTCCTGCAGTTCAACACACGTGTGTCTTTCTTCTCCGGTTTGATCAGCATGTGATCATTTCTAGAGAAAGTGAACTGTATTTTTCTGGAAATGTGGAGTTAATCATCAAACCAAGATGTCCAAGATCCTCTTCAGTTAGACCAGGTAAGATCACCCTGTGTAAGACCTGCTGTCAGGATTCTTAGAAAGCTTTGGGAGGTAGTTTGACGGCTGAATTGATTGTGTTTGTTTTGAATAGAGATGGTTGCAAGCTGTGACTCAACTCAATATAGAGTACAACATATTAGACCATTAAATCCAGTAATATTCTTTAATGTTGCCTTGGAGTCAGATGCATGAGAGTTGTGTCAAGCTGCTCACAGATTCATTCTCAGCAGCAGATCTCAACACAACAGGGACTCTGTGGTCCCAAGTTCCATCTAGTCCAGATTTGACAAATCCAGCTATAGTAGGTTTTGACCTGGTCAAAGCAAAAGTGAGTTTTTTTCGTTTTCATAAATATTATAAAAAGGTTAAACAAACCTAAATTATGTTTTAAATAGTCTCTCTGGAGAAATCTAGTCCAGATTTGACTAGTCTAACTATATTTTTTTTATCTGGAGCTGGTCCAATGTGGTCTAGGGCTTTAGGAAAAAAGAGTAAAATTTAAACCCTTTTTTCGCATTTTCTGAGTAGAATAAAGTTTTCACAAATGTAAGAGTGGGTTTCTGACAGCGTTCTTTACCTAAGGACGACATTAAGAGGAGCAACAACCGAAGGATAGGTCACTGAAGTCTCACTTAAGTTTCCCCTTCCCTGCCGAATCAGAAGCCAACTTCAGTGTCGTGGTCCCAGGTCTAATTTCACTGGAGGTGAAGTGGAAACTAACATGATGTTACTTTATGTAAAATATGTCTGAATGGACATCCCTGATTTGTATTGTCTTCATATCAGGTGGTTCAATCTAGAGAGAGAAACATTAAAGACCACAGGCTCCTGGGTTAGTCTGCGGACAACAGATTCTAGTTTTGAAACAAGATAAGCAAAATCTGAAAACTAGCCATTTCCCGTCTACCATTTATAAATCCACGAGTACCCTTACTTCTTATTGAGTACTGCCAGCTCTAGTGAGCAGGGTTGTATCAATTCAAGCACTGACTGGGAAATAAAAAACAGTTTGTTTCCTGATTTGGATTTTCTTTCACAACAATAATCTGTTGGCTGTAAAGTAAACTGACCGTCCTGATCCAGAGCTTCATTCACATGTTAACACGCTGGATTACACAGATAAAAGTTTTTAGACTGAATGGAAAAGTATATTTTAGATCAATTTCATATACATTTACATGAAGTGAGTCTTTTTGTTTTTGTCAAGTATGTTTTATTGAGGAAGGATTACAAGACTTAGGGCATGAGAACGCATTGTAAAGCTAATACAACAGATAATATCAACATAACTAAACTACCCTAAAACTTCCATTAATGAACTCAACCTGCCTTTATTCGGGACAGGCCTTTAATTCCCTTTGCACAAAACTCTTGCTCAGCTATTTAAAACAGTACGAATATTACTTGTCTCATTTAATCATTCATTTGATGATCTGATACTTTGGTGCTCAGGGTTTCTGTAACATGAACTGAATGTTGAATTATGGAGAATTTGACTGATCCAACGATGTGCAGCATGTTCATACTGACAGAAGTTTAAACATTTATATTCCTGAAGGAGATCTAAGCAGCTTAGAACGTGCTCAAGTGGGCGACCCAGTGGGATTTAAGAGGTTTTATACATCCATAGAACTTCTATAAAATCCCGACCAGGCCTCTAATTGAGACACCAGGCTAGTAAAAGAGACCTGCTTCTAATTGGAGCCCTCCTTCCTGCTAAGTTAAAGCAGGTTGTTCCTCAGGTAGCAGACAAACGGCTGCCAGGTCTTATGAAATACAATTTTACAAGGTGAAGGATATTAGTTTTTTCACTGAACTTCAGTCTTCTTCCAGAATATCAGAATTCATTTTTCTGCTGTAATAAAACCGTACGAGAGGAAGCTGCTGCTGTGCTCTTGTCCATTAAGACAGGATCAGGTTCAAAGTGGGTGTCGAGTATCTCAGAGAACGATTTTAAATCTGAGGGGAGAAACTGAACGAGATGATGTCTAAAGTCGATGGAGCGCTCATTAATCTCGTTAAGGCTTTTTTCCCAAGTCTCACTGGGAACTGCAATTGGGAACATGACAGGTATAATATTTGGTGTAATGATGACTCGTACTGGGGAAGGTATGAAGGTTTGGGTGGATTACTGGTAGATGGCTGGCAGGCAGACACAAGAGGTGGGGTCAACAGGGAGCGTTACGCAAGACTAGAAACTAGAAACAGTTGGACATCGCTCTGCAGCCGGAGATGCAGGACAGGTGAGTAAACCGTGAAGGGGAGTTGATTCCAAACAGGTGTGCAGAGGACCCACAGAGACAGACACAATTTAACGTAATGCAATATCAATCAGGCTTGGGATCTTTGTTGCATGTCATTGTAATGGTCATTTTTAAAGTTTGGATTATCATTTAGGATGTATTGTACTGCGTTGGACAAAACAGAAGTAAAAACAACCAAAAAGCTAAAAGAACAATGACAAAGTGTCAGGAGAAAGAAAACACTATTATGTATGTACGATTGTTTCAAATACATAATACAGACAGATATTTGTATAAAACGTAAATAAAAATATCAGGAAAACTCTTTTCACAGGAAACAATAATAATGTGGGTTCGTTGTCACAATCAGTCAGTTTACTCAGTGATAGAAAAGGTTAGACGCCACTGGTTTAGATCATAAAGGAGAATCTAAACTGTAAAAATAACAATAATGATAACAATAAATAACAACCACTGTGTGAAACAGAAGAAAACAGTGTAAGAATACAGTCACGCCATGTCTCCATGCTCATACTGCACACTGCTGGTTGTTAATGCGATTACCGTCAGGCAGGCAGGGAGCCTGTTATAAGTGATGAGTTTCACACCATGTTTTTATTTCTCACACATCAGAATCAAACCCAGGAGAACAGCTGCTGCATAATTCATGTTTTTGGAGTAAATGATTCAGATAAACAAGACGCTTCCACACAGCAGCTACAAACTCTGGGCCCCTGACAGCAGCTCACATGGGAGCCCCGAGAGAACGAACAATCCCAGCATGTTCCAGGGGCCCCTGTGCAGCCCCCCCCCCCCCACAACAACTTCAACATCAGTTCACTCGCATCTCATCTTCCTCAGCGTGTGTGTTCCTGTACAGCCGTCCGTCGTCGCCCCACCTCAGTCTCCGCTCAAACGGCATCATGTAATATTCAGAGTGTAAGAATTAGTGAGGGGACAGCGTTAGACACCTAGCTAAAGGGAATGAACGATCACAGGAATAGTAGCATTGGATCTATTAATTAGGTAAGCCAGCTAAAATATTTAAATATTGCGGCAGCCAGAGATCTGTGAGAAGTAGGACACCACCGGAGGCGTCATCTCTCTCAGTTCTACGTCTCTGTTTCATTTTGTTGATCTGTCTGTCTTTTTTTTTTCTTAGTGTTTTTTATCCTTCATTTATTCTCTTTGATTCATTCTTGCTGTGCTGTCTGAACTGAAGTTAAGTGAGGATATTCTGGAAAGAGCCTCTTCAAAACATCCTCTGAGTGTCTAAGAACAGCATTACTACAATACTGCTACTGATACTGCTAATATACGACAGTGTAAGCTTTCTACTCGAGTAACACTCATCTGAATATCTACACAGGCTTTGCAAGAAGACGTATGGACATTCAAAAACATTCAAAATAAAACTCCTGTAGAGGTAGAACACAAGAAACAACAGAAAACAACCTGCAGCTCTTCAGCCGCTCTCCAGTGGCTCCTGAGGTTCATCACTACACTTATATTGTCCTATTAAAGTGTTATTACATTACATATGTTTAAACTTGTGTGATGTCCAAAGGGGATTAGTTAAAGTTCTTGGGACTGACCGAGCACTAAATCAGGGTTTGTAGAAGGAAAGAGAGTCGCTGGCTAGTGAAGTTGGGCTGTCAACAGAAAGGCGGTTGTATCTGCTTCACATCTGTTGGGTTTATCGGTCTGATATCATGTCGTCTTAATCCGAAGGAAACAGATAAACAAGCTGTTAGCAGCAGGAAGCTGTTTCCATAACTCACTGTACATTACCTGCCCAGCAGTTAGCGACTAGCTGGTGAACATCGTGGAACATTTAGCAGCTGAAGAGCCAGATATTTCGCTCAGGAGCTGGTGGAGACCAAAAAATGAGCTAAAAGAGAGTGAATTTTAGACATACACATGACTCCAGTGGGATGCTTGAGTCTGCTGGAGGTGGAAAGAGGCTCTTTTAGGACAGATTTCATATCTTATTAAACGATTTTAGTAAAATGTACATACATGATTTGAGTTTGATTGCATTACTTTCAAATCTAGCTATATTCTAGACATATTTGGTTTAAAATTGACCCTAACAACTTTAAACTTATTTACATTACTTTATCTTTTCTTACTCCTCTCACCCTTCACTTCTCCCCCAGCTTCTCCCTCCCTCCCTGCACCATGAACCTCCACGGCAGCTCAGTGGAGGAGCTCTACAGCGACAACGCCTCCCCTGTGTCTCTGAACTCCAGCGTTTTCTTCAGCGAGTCGACGGCGTCTTGCCTCAGAGACCCGCTCGACTTCTTCATCATCAACGTTGGAGGAAGTCGCTATGTGTTGTCGCAAGAGCTGCTGGCGTCCTACCCGGAGACCCGGCTGGGGAAACTAGCCTGCTGCAGCAGGGACTCGGCACTGGAGCTCTGCGACGACGCCGACTTCCTGGAGAACGAGTTCTTCTTCGACCGAAACTCACAGACCTTCCAGTAGGTGGCGCTTTTTTCTCTTCCCTGAGGCCTGTATAATAACATTGTCACATACAACACATACTCACATTTCTACTGAGCCTGATCTGTGTACCTCATACTCAATTTGGAAGTGCAGAAACTTTAAAACGAGGGTAGTTTCAGCACATACAATGTCTCTCTGCCACCCACCAAACCCACCAAACCCACAAGCTTAATGGCTGCAGAAGAAGTCGGTTGCCATGAAACCTCATGGGCTCGCTCTCCATGACGTGACCCTCGCCAAGGACCGGGGTTCCTTTCTTCCCACGACCCCATCTAACAGTGGGATGAGAGTGTGGTCCAGACATCCTCTGTTTCAGAAGCGAGGGGCAAGAAGCAGCAGAGATTTCTGTGTGCGAGTGCTGTGTCGTATTATTGGACTGTGACACCAACCAACATGGAAAAGCACATCAGACGTGCTCAGACTTCATCACACACAACCTCAAAGGTTATTCCCCGCTAAGCTGCAGGCTGAAAACAACAAGGCACACATGACCTGTGTTCACCTGATGCTTCCTGTGCGTTTCTGCCTGGAGTCAAACATTAATGTGAGTCACAGCAACACCTGATGTTCAAACTGGAGGTCGTCTTCACAGGTGTGCTGTCAGCTCCCATTAACTGATGAAGTCCTGATGGTCTTTAAACTGTGACGACTGCTCCTACATACAGCTCACAACCCAAAATAAACTTTAAACTCTGGGCTCAGCCAGGAAATAGCACAGAAGTCTTTCTTTCTGTCTGTCGTTCTATCGTTTCAGATTATAAATATCTGCATTCATTCATATGTAAAACAGTTTCCAAGCATGCTTTTGGAAGATACTCAGGGGGATTAACCCCTCTCATGTCTTTACAACTGATGTTAAAGGTGGGGTCAGTCATTCTGGAGAAACATGTTTCATGAGTCTCAGTTCCAGATCGTCAACCCAAAACGTCGATATTTGACGATCTGCTATCATGTCTGAGCCAGTTTGGGTGTTTCCTTTTTCCCATAACCCAAAACTTAAGTATTTGATGACCTGAGAATGAGATTTAAAAATCAACAATCTTTCTCCAGAATGACTGACCCCACCTTGAATCAATTCCTGTTACATCTGTTATTTATTATTTTCAGTATGTCCATAAAAGGCTCTTTTAAGAGTAAAAGTTGTTGACCCCTGGATTAGATGGAGGAAAACAGTGCTTTAACTTATAATGTAAGAAGACAATCAGAACCAGTTTTCTGGCATTAATGCATCTAGAGAAGGGCTCGTCTTTGTCAGGTTGAGATTGTGACCTTTAACCAGAATCCGTCTTGCCAGGCTTCAGTCTGTGCATGTTTTGTTTGCTAGCATCGGTTATATCAGACCTCTGGAGTATTTCTTCATTGAAAGAAGAACAAAGAACGACACTCAAGGTTCGTCTCGATGGAAAAGATGCTTCCACTCCGACTGGCTTCGGTAGGGTTGAAGTTCGCCCATGATAGACGGAGAAAGACAGGTGGTTTGTACAATCAGCTGCAGAGTATTTGCCTGCCCTTTTCCAAGAACAACTTCCACTTCTTCTTGTAGACTAATCAAGATAAACCATCATGAAACCCAGTTCACTCAACATTGGAGGTTCTTTGCCTCCATTTTGTGGCTTATTTTGTGAATAACTATTACACTCATTGATTACTTCTTCTCTAAACCTTCTTTTAATATCTGTTCTGACAAAATGCTACCTATCTGTGTGTATTCCTGCTGACAGGTACGTGATGAACTACTACCGGACGGGTCACCTGCACGTGAGGGAAGAGCTGTGTGAAATCTCCTTCCTGCAGGAGATCGAGTACTGGGGCATCGACGAGCTCCGCATCAACCCCTGCTGCCGTGAGCGTTACTTCCGCCGCAAGGAGCAGAAAGAGACCCTCGACGTACAGCGAGACTTTGAGCCCGAGGACGACGACGAGGACTTTGTGGGTGCCGCCTGCCCGACTCTCCGTCACCACCTGTGGGACTTCCTGGAGAAACCTGAATCCTCACGCGCCGCTCGCACCTTTGGCTCGCTCTCAATCTTCTTCGTGGTGTTGTCAGTCATCAACATGGTGCTCATCTCTATGGACTTAGGGGAAGATTTTGGTGTTAGCGACATTGGTATCGACCCACCGCTGCTGTTCGATGCCCTCGAGTACGTGTGCGTGGTGTGGTTCACCGGTGAGCTGGTGCTTCGGTTTCTCTGCGTAAGGGATAAGTGCCGCTTCAGTCGAAGTATTCCCAATGTGATCGACCTGCTGGCCATCCTGCCGTTCTACGTGACGCTGGCGGTGGAGAGCCTCCACGGAGGCAGCACAGAGCTGGAGAACATGGGCCGTGTGGTGCAGGTCCTCCGACTCCTGAGGTCGCTCCGTATGTTGAAGCTGGGACGACACTCAACAGGTAAACACGTTTAAACAGCAGCCTTAAAATTATGCTTTAGAATTGGTCTCTTTACTTGACTTGTGTCCTGTTCAGAAGAGAAAACACTATATTTATTTTTAGGCGTCACATATGTTTGGACCAAAGTTTCAGTCTGGTTCCGTTGGTGTCGACAGTGAAGAGACCGACTTTACTGTTCCAGTTGCTGCTCGCTGTATTAATTAATATCATGTCACACATTATTAGACATCCTATTACTACATACATGCTCTCTGTATTGCAATGCCAGTAACTTTTACTCCAGCGCTATTATCAGGTCAAAGTCTAAGTTTGTCCAATACTTTGGTTTATTACCAAATTGGAGATGTCCCCATCGGTTTCAGGGCCGATCAGATCCTATGTTCTGCGTCATGCAGGACAAAGCAACAAGTGCATTGACTGTCCAACTCTCTACTAAGTAATTTATCATTTTCTCCTTTCTGTCTTTCAGGAGTAGAAAAAACAATATTAATGGATATAATTTGTGATATATGTGTCATGTAGTTCTTCAAAAACCTTAAATTCTACTTAAGAAGTTGTTAATTTAAGCCTGAAATTGGTATCGGTTTATCAGAATTTGCTATATTAATTGGAAAAGAACAAGTTTTTGCATAAAAATTGCTGTACTTACGACTACTGAACCATTTTACTTGTCTGATACTCTATCTGTATTGTACATTATCTGTACCGAATACTCAGTACAGGGACCCGTTTTAATGCGGGGCCTTCTTTACCCTTCATGACAACTACTGTTCTGCATTAAATAGCAATATGTACGTCTTATCTATCTGCTGACATAAAAACAGCTCAACGAGTCTCTCAAATTAACAACAACAAAGGCAAAACCATATTTTGCTTGGGAAGGAGAAGTGTCTGAAACTACTAGTAGTTTAATCCATTATGTGCACTTTTAGCATCACAGACAGCTCAACATAGAAATAATCCAAACAGTTCTTTTAATTACAAACTGAAATAATCACATTTTTGCCTTGGAATAAAAAGCTTTGTCCTTCTCGGCAACCCTAACTACTAACTTTATTCCTGCTCACGTGTGTTAAAAGACTCACTGATTCAGTCCGCCGTAGTTCTGTCTGGGACTTCAAACCTCTTTTGCTTGAGTGCTGAGAATGCTTTAATAAGGTCAACTTTGTTCAACAACCTTGTTACTTCATGCTTAATTGAAATCTGACAGACGCTGCTGGAGCGTGGTTGTCCTCAGACGGGTCTCAGCCTAGCGGTAAGCGCCCACTAGCGTTGGTTGAAACGGTGTCCAGTGTGTCATTCTTGAATGAAGCAACCACAGCCTGCAAGTTGCCACAATATAAACATTATATATTTTTAAAAAGTGGGTGAATTATTAAATCCTTGCAAGTGAGTTGGGGACCAGGAGACACAAACCGAGGCTTCGCTTTTGACTTACGTCAGATTGTCTTAAAAGGAAAAGAATAAATGACAACAAGAATAAGAGATTGGTCATCTTTAAAACTGGATGCCCAAAAATTCAGATAAAGACTCGACTGCCCCGTACACGCTTCCGCGTGTGAGCGTGTGACGGTCGATTTCCTGCCCGATTGGACCCAACATGACGCCGGGTTCGGGCCCAAAACTGCTGCAGCAGGTCGGGCTCAGACAGGATTAGATTTCTTTTAAAAATATATTTGATAGTTCATGAATAATGCATACAATTCTAATTAATGAATTTCTTATTAGTCTGGCTAATAAATTGGCACAATGTAGTTTACTTTAACTTGTAATAAACTAATTATCTCGCACAGAATGTTTTTTGGGCTTGGGTCGGGTCAGGCCTGATTTTTTGGGCCTGATCAAAGCTCCAGGGGAAGATACTTTGCTCCAGTGATCAGCATCTGAAGAAGACTTCCCTCCACACACCTTCCCTGTCTGTCAGGGGAAAAAAAGAAATTGAAATCCTCCTCGGTGAGAAGCTGCTGCTGTGAGATTACAGCCGGGAGGTTTCCGGAGGACGACAAAGAACAGAAAAAAACATATATTGATTCATATTTTGGCAAATTCCTTCAGGAGATGGAGGGTGGAGAGCGAGGATATATGTCTGTGTGTGTGTGTGTGTGTGTGTGTGTGTGTGTGTGTGTGTGTGATTATATGTGTGTGAGTATGTGAGTGTGTCAGACTGGGACGTGTCAGCGCTTTGATCTGAGGGATTTTAGGAAGGATGATGATCCCGCGACTCATGAATAATGAACAAGAACACTGAAGGGGGGGAAAAGGAGAAGGGAAGGCGAGACAGGAAAAACAGGTTACATATGTTAATACTGTTAATTCATGGAAGGCTTCCTTAATATAATACTAGCATGACAACATGTGTTATTGGCCGCTCGTGTCCTTACTGGTTGTTAGGAGAGTTTATTAATCATTATAAGCCCAATTATGCATCCAAGTAATTCCTAACGATCCCCCAAAGTGTAAAGATTCGATCACAGTCACATAAAAAACGTTTTGTTCATTTGTGCAACCAAAATATTAATTTAAGGGAACCAGTGAAGTCATTTAAAGGGACGCAATGTCTCATTTGTCCCAATGAACCTGTAAGTTCACAGCAGCTCTGTGGCCAAACAGATCCAGTGTGACGCTGACGAACTGTGAAGACACGAGGATGAAGATGTTAGAGATTCACTGTCTTTTTTCTCATCTGTCAACATCCGACCGAACTTCTTCCCTCAGAGGAGACAAAACTGAACATTAAAGATGGGCAGCGGGCCGAAAGCAAGCCCTGTGCAACTGTTTCTCTACCCGCTGTGCTCAGATTGTGAAAGATTATTAATGATTCGTCATATTTAAAGAGCATTTTACCTCATAAAAAATGACAAATTACAGCAATATTTTAAATAAATATTAAGGTTTCTGTCAGTAGTAACATCAAAGCGGGCCAACATCTGTCCGTGGGGCCCGTTTTGGGAACCATGTGACCATCAGATTACCACAACACAACATATTCTGCAGCTCTCGTTTATAAACTCCTTGTCTCATCAGGATCAGACTGAAGCTCAGCACAATAACAAAACATTTAATAACAGCAGAGTCAAAAACTACGACAGAGTATAAGCACCAGACTAAGAAAAACAGTTTTACTGGCTGAGCCAACAGGCTGACAGTTCTCATAAAATTACTACTTTATTCTTGTAATATTATGACTTTATTCTCGTAATATCCCCCCCCAAAAAAATGTTTTCTCTTAGTATGGCCCTAATACTCGGTCGTAAAAAATAGCCCTTCTAGAAACCAACCAACCAAATATTCTTAAATATAATCAAATCTAAAAGACAGTAATGGGCCTTAAAACTAGAAAAATACAAACAATTTAAGCAACTCTTAAAGTAGGTATTTTGGTCACTTTGTTAATTTTAGATTAAGGCACAAATTCTTATTTCAGCTCAATATTTAGCCAAAAAAATCTTATAAGACGCAGTATCTTCGAACAGCATAATAATAATCTTAAAATCTAATAACACTTAAATGAAGGCTTCAGAAACATTCTTATTTTTAGCATTTTTATTAAAACTAAAAAACTAAACAGCTGCTTTATTTCCAACACTGGGACCAGACGACTTTCTCTTAAACTGAGAAGTTGTGTGAGTGCTCTTACTCTTGTTCCTCTGCTGGGATATTATGCAACCATTGTTGTTCCTGGTTAAGGTTAATTTTAGACAAAAAATAAAACAAACTTTCCAGAAACAAGACTTTTTTTTAACTTTCTTGAGATTCCCTTTAGACAGAGCTGATTATCCTAACAGGGACAGGAACATATAATGTTCAGACAGTATTTATTTTTAAATGTGTGTCCATTACAGAGGCTGAAAAACTCCCCTTTTAAAATGTCATATTGACTTTTACACTTTAATATAATCTGATTTGCTCCGATTCTGTTTCTTTAATCTGTGCTAATGTAAAGAAGCAGCTTTCCATGGCTCTCTTTGTCTGCTGCACCAAAGAAAACCTCTTTATGATCTCGTTTCAAATCCTCCTTAAACTCGACACCAAAGCTCATTTCTTTTCCTCTCGGAGGAAAACGGAGAGATGACAAGTCATTCAGGGGTGTGAACGTCAGCCCTGTGAGCGGCCTCACGTGTGGGTGTATTTATAAATTTGCTGTTTCCTCGTTCTGCAGCTTGTTATTTTCTCCTGGCTGAGCAATAGGAAGGAATCAAATCTTTTGTTCATTCCTTCCGATATAAGAGAGCGGTTTTATTAACAGCCCCTCTCCACACAATGCATTACCACAGGAGAATTAAGTATGGCCTGAATTAAATGTTCCCTGTGATGGATTATTCAAATCAGTTTCAAGTTTCTGGAGGCAGATTTTCTCAGCGTTCCTGGAAGCTAGAAGGAAATTCAAACTCAGAATATGATCTTCACATTTCTCCTAAAGAGCTGGAATTTGTGAAGATCTCACAGACAGTCAGAGCACTGTGGATCAGTGGTGGAGGAAGTATTCAGGAAGTGCTAATAACACACTGAAAATACTCAGTATGCATTCAAAAACTTACTTTAAAGTCTACAAGGAGCGTTCAGCTGTTATTGATTCTGGCGGCCCCTGTGGACAGGAGCGGTAGTGTTTCTACCTCATTGATTTTATTGACTAAAACTCCTACTTAAAGTATTGAGCATTAAAATGTTCCCAGTCAGTGTTTTACTATGAATCTGATGTTTGTGGATGAATATTTCTGCTGCATTAATGTGAATGTTCCATTTTTCTGCTGTAGATGTTTGAGGTCGAGATTTTGGCTACTTCACAGATTGTTTAGTTTAATCTACAGAAATGCATCATGTTCTAGATCATGATAAGATCAGAGCGTCTTGCCTGCCTAATTTGTGTATTTTGTCCTTAAAAAGGATAAATAACTGTGTTTCTCTGCTTCAAATCTCCTCGGACTGACCTCTAAATAAGGCTGAAGTGCTAACTAACAAAGACAAACTGGCACAACAGACACTAAGCACAGACACTAAACACACAAGGGAGGAAGGTAATGAGGCACACAGGGACAGGAAGTGTCCGCAATGAGAAACAAAGGTGTGTACATCAAAATAAAACAGGAAATGATGAAAAGGAAGACATAACCTTGGACAGGGATGTAACACTGCTGCATAGGGTATTTTATTTAGAAAATTGACTTGATTCTGTCCTCGTGTCTGTCCAGGTCTTAAGTCTCTGGGTATAACCATCGCTCAGTGCTACGAGGAGGTTGGCCTCCTGCTCCTCTTCCTCGGTGTCGGTATCTCCATCTTCGCCACCGTGGTCTTCACTCTGGAGTACGACCTTCCTGCCACCACCTTCACCAGCGTGCCGGCCGCCTGGTGGTGGGCAACCACCTCCATGACCACGGTCGGCTACGGAGACATCCGGCCCGACACCGCTGTGGGGAAGGTGCTGGCCTTCCTCTGCATCCTATCTGGGATCCTGATCCTGGCACTCCCCATCGCCATCATCAACGAGCGTTTCTCCGCCTGCTACTTCACCCTGAAGATGAAGGAGGCTGCGATGCGGCACTGCGAGATGCTGAAGAGGCTGGCCCGCGGCTCTGTGGGCGGGGCGAGCGTCGGCGGAGGCGTGAACCTGAGGGACGCCTACGCCCGGAGCGTCCTGGAGATGTTGAGGCTGCACGGGCGAGAGAGGGTGAGCACCCGGAGCAGCGGAGGGGAGGAACTGTGGTGGTAGAACCAGGAGAGCGGTCGTCAACCAGGAACTGTGCGGTTACAAACACCATCCGGAATAAAGCCGCAACTTTTAGTCGATTAGTTGATAAGTAGATTGATAGAAAATCAGTGGGGAGGTATTGTGCTCATAAACAGCTCTATATCCTTAGTCTGTGACTTCACTAGAGTAACTTTGCATGATTCACTCTTCAAAAACATCCTTATTTATCTGATACTATCTTCATGCAGCCCCTCAGTCCATCCTCTATCTGAAACACCTCCACTTCCTCCCACTGAACAAAAATATACCGGAATATCCGAAAACATCGGCGTGATAAGAACGACCCCAAATTACAGAAACCATCTTTGGGAAAGAATTATTTGACTTTTTTTAATTTGTCCCATCTAACATGGAGGCTATCCTGCAGCCAGCCACCAGATAACTGTTATGTTGTCCATATTTATATGTATTGATGGTCTGAAACAAGTCGTTTAATTTACCCGTTTAGCTACATTAGCAGAAAGTAAAGCTATATGTCCGTCAGTAAACTCCAGAAGTCACCGTGTTCAAAAAGCATGTTTATAGAGCACTCCTGACTGAGCGGTTAAATTTAGATGTGGATGTACTGTGCCTCAAGCAGAGGATCAATTGACAGACAGGGGAGTTTCCAGACTTTTTGGATTGGGGGGCACAAGTGGGGCCCTCATTTATGTAAGGGTGGCATGAAGTATGTGTCTCAGCTTTCCAGTCATTCTCCATTCATGTAATTCCAACACTGTTTATGGACTGTGCAGAAATATTCAAATACACTAGGTAAAAAAACTCTTTTATACCACATACCTAAAGTGTCTGCAAAGGGGAGACTCGTGGGCACCCTTAGAACCCATTTTTATTCAGATATCTTGAGGTCAAAGGTCAATGGATCCCTTTTAAAATGGCCATGCCAGTTTTTCTATTGCTAAAATTGAACCTAAACAATATTTAGTCTCCTTCCCAACATGCTAGCAGGACACGGTTGATACCAATGGATGCATTAGGTCATCCAGTTTATATGATAGCAGTATCTTAAAACACAGGCAGCTACAGCCTCTCAACTCAAACTGATTATCTTTGGATATTGGTCGGAGTAAACAGTGTGACGTTCGATATAAGCATCCACAACATCACGTTAAAGATCTCATTGTTTTCTGATGTTTTATAGACTGATTAAAGATAAATAGCTCAGACTTTGGGTTTTGTACACTAGAAATAAGATGCAGGACTCAGAGCCATCTGCTCTCAGAGGTCCTGCTCTGTGCTCAAATGTAGGTCGACTCTCAGAAAGTTGAAATATTCAGAAGGAAATCTGTGAAACGTTCCTGTCGTGTTTCCCTGTGGTTGTGTCTCATCTGCTATGGACTGATAACGTGTATTTTGACAGTATCATCTATTTGATTTTACTCATTTAAGTGACTTTAATTAGATAAATTCTGTTTTAAAAAGGTTTGGAGAAATGCAGCATATGAGAGTAACTTCAATTAAATGAATGGAATTAGTACAATTAACCTAATTTTTTACTTACCTTAACAATAAATACTTGAGTTACTACTTACTTCGACTCAAATATCTTTCATGTTTAAATTGTCTGAGTGAATAAACTTGAAGGCGATCGGTTTGAGTTGAACGAACCCATCAGAAATGTGTTCTCGTTCCCACAGTGTTATGTTTGATGTCAGAGTTTGACACTCGGAGGAAAGTTACTCTGCGCTCATCTGAGTTTAGGATTGTATTGTAATTTGGTGCAAGCACTGAGACATGTTTTCCAACACAACAACTCTCGATTCAGTGGGGGAAAAAAACTATTTCTGTGCTCCCATCCATACAAAACATTATCTCTGTGCACCACCTTGGATAAAACCTTCTCCGAGAGCACACATGCATTAGTAAGTGTTGTATAGAAGTCAGTATAAAACCCTACAGGCTGTGTTTTTTTTTTTGTCACGCTACCTTGGTGCTTCTGCTCTCTCTCGTGTAGTTTCTGTTCTCACTCTGTGACTCAGTCATGCAATAAAGGACATTCTCTGTGGGTCACAGTGGTCTTTTCAAATATCACAGTGATGGCCCGAAGGCCTGAATAAAAACACTGAGCTGCTGCCAGGATGTTTTCTGCTTTCTAACAGTTTTGTTTTTAGATTAGCTGCTGTGTCTATCGGCTAGTTTGTTTATTTCCCAAGGAATTCAAATTCAAAAGCTGAGCCTGTTGTTGTGTCACTGGTTGGCTTGTTTTTGTCACTCAGGAGGACGTTGTCGTACAGTTGCTCCAGGATTTCACAGAACCTTTTAGGCATGTTTTACAAAGAAATTACAGGAAAAAAAAGGTGGAAATTGCAAAAAATTGTTGCGTGTTTAATTGTGATTTAAAAACATTAAACATTTTTATAAAAAATCTAAAGCTGGGATGCACGATAGACTTATTGAATTACCTTAGAATGAGCCGTTTTTATCATGTTTCCGCCATGTTTAACCGAATGTTTCTACAGTAGCCCAGAGCGAACAAACCCTGCAGATAGAGTTGGAGTTTTGTGGCCACCGTAGTTTCTTCTCCCCGTTCTCACTCCCAGGATGCCAGCAGTGTTCACTTAGTTGCAATCTGTAACTTCACCACTAGGTGCCACTAAATCCTACACACTGTCCTTTAAAAGGGAAACTACATGTATATATGTATAAACTAGATAACAACCTTCTCCTGTTTCCTCATGTTGTTGTGTCTAAGAGACAACAGTTTTTGAAATGAGTCCAGTTTTGAGCGAGAACGAACGCTGCAACGTAATCCTTCAAGCCAATTGTGCAACGTATGTCCACTGAGATGTTCGGTTGCTTTCAGAACGTAAGACAATCAGCAAACTGTCAGCTGTATGTGTGTCAGCGGAGGTGAGACAGTCTCTCCTGTTTTAAGCCTCGTTTGCATCCATTTGTTTCACAGTTTGAACAGACACCTCTCGTGTCGGCTTCAGGAGTCGTCTGAGGAGAAAAGGTTGCAAAGAAATCAGTGACAGCGTCCAGCCGGCGGCATTTCATTAGTGTGTGTGTGTGTGTGTGTGTGTGTGTGTGTGTCAGTAATTATATAACACAACCTTTACACACACACGTTGTAAGCCCTGACACGTTCGCTCCTTCTCTGCCTTGCACTGAATGCATCATCTTTTTATTTTACACTTTTATTTCAGGCGTTCAGCTGATTCTCGCAGGTATCTGAGAAACTGTTGTAAAAGAAGCAGCTGTTCATTGTTTTAAATAAAGAAATGCTAAAAAATAAGAATATTTGTGGTGCCTTCATTTAACACAAAGTCACTTTTATTTTTGTAAGAATTTGAGACCAAAATACTTATTAAGAAAGCCTCTGAAATAACTGAGTTTTCATTGCTTGTAATAAGAACAACTTGCTTAAGCTTTTGGCATTTTATTTGTGGTTTTAAGACCCTTTATAGTCTTTCATTGGCTAGATTTTTTATCATTCTAGCTGAGCATCATCATCGTACTCCACAGGCAGATTTGTTTTGCTCAATAAAACAAAATTTGATTATATTTTAGAATATTCAGCTTGTTTCTAGAAGGGTTGAAGCAGACTGGAAGGATGGAAACAAACCAAAAGTAAAGTAAAAAACTAAAATAAAAGTTCCCGATCTCTCTTTCCGTTCACATCCCAATGAAGTGTTTTATATAACAAAAGCTTTTCACAGACGATAATATATTCGACACTAAGCCGGCAGACAGTCTGCTGTGTGTGCGGAGAGCTTCATGGTTTCACTTTTAAGATAAAGAAGAAAAGAAATCCACACATTCGAACTGTCTCTGTTCACTGAACTGATTAAAGCCGACTTTGTTTTAGGACATGCTATCACATAGTTTGGGTAAATCATAGGGAAGAATATTCCTTATTTGCGTCCTACTTTTAAATGATGACTCTTAATTGATCATAACTGCTAAGAAGAATAAATCTTACGCCTCAAATATTAACTCAAAGACATTTATTTATTCAGAACAAAGGGCAGCCAGGGGAAACTGGGCACATATCAAGCTGCTCTTAGTTACTTATGTGCTTTCTTTGTGAATATGAATGCAAATATATAAATGTATGTATGATATTGTCGGCAGCAAAGTGCAGCCTGGAGGGAGCTCGTCTTTCAGTCTTTATATGTTGTTTTTGATGAATATATTAAAGAAAAGAGCTGCAAGTTTAATCAAAGGAAAGATTTTAAGTGGCTAAAATGAGAACAGTTTGTATGTGAAAATCAACTCCTCACATTATACTGCTGAAGTTTCACCGCAGCGCCCTCACTGTGAGCTCTCTCTGGATAAGAACTCACTTTCTCTCCTTAATGTTCCAGTTTTTTTTCCCTTCGCTGTGCAGCCAGAGGCATCAAACGGTGAATTCAGGTCAGTTGTGAAGGCGGGAAGTCGTCTGACGTAGCCGTGGTGAAGGAGTGAGACCGTTCATGAAGCCACTGGTGGACAATGAAAGTGCCCTCTTAGATGCCACTATAGATAAAACATGATAAACACCCCTCCAGTGTAATAATACTAACTCTGACTAAGCTGTTTCACCATAAATGTGTCGTAGCTTTCTGCATGCTAGTGCCCTTTTGGAGCTGAATGATGCAGCAGTGTAACAGTGTATGTGTGTGAACAGTGGTATTTATTGATGTGTGTCTGTGGACGTTAACGTAAAGAGCTCAGTAATCTGCAGAGAAAGGTGAAACTAATTGGGGCTGGCTAGCATTAGCCTGGACAGGAGCCAACATGGCTGCTTTGAAATGTGTCATTTACACAATCTGACCAGTTACTGTTACAGCAGCTTGTATTTCACAACAGTCGGGAAAACCCTGATAGTTACGGAGGAAGTACGTTTGGTTATATCCATAGTTTGGATTTGTGTCCAATGAAATCACTAGTAGATGGATTTGTTCAACTATAGTAAGTGATAGCCTGAAGTTCAATTAAAGAAGTCCATAAATAAAACTATTAATTTATAATGCCTCAGACACCTTTAGATATTTCTAGTTGATGCTCCAATAATGTGATGTTTTGAGTTCAAATATCTTCATTTGGGTGTATCAAGCAAATATTGATAAATCAGATTTTTTTTTGTGATTATATCAGCGTATATTTCTGCCACCCCTTAAAGCAGTGGTTCCCAACGTGGGGGTCAGGATCCCAACTAGGGGTCGCCAAAGCTTCACAGGGGGGTCGCGATGCCTTCTTGATTTTCACTTTTGTGAAGAAAAGTGTAAAGTAAATTGAATTAAGTCAGTTGTCTAATAGAACAATGTCCAAGGATCAGAGCAAAACACTGAATTTGTAACAAAAAAAAAGAGGCCTTTTTATATTTTCTAACAGACAGAATTGTATAAAAAGTTCCCTAAACAGGAAATAATCTGCTCAAAATTCATCCAAATCACTTGTTTTACACAAACTTCCTTTGTAAAAAGTTGGGAACCAGTGCTCAGTGTCTGATGATGAGTATTTCTCTGCAAGTTGAACAAGTTTGCAGACTGAGAGGTTGAAGGAGAGAGAATGTGAGTGTGTGCAGCCAGCGCACCGAGCAAGAGTCAGTGAGAGTTATTATTCAACGAACCCAACCACTACTGTGCAGACACTGGCTCCGAATGGTGAAAGATGTCAGCTTCATTATTGTACAGTGTGAGGAAGCGGAGACCTCCATATGTCTGTTTGAACCCAGATGTTGGATTTAGTTCAGTCCTGATCAGAAAAGGTTCATACAGACCTGTTGGGTTCTGTATTTATTCCCCTCTGTGCCGAGGTCCACCAATCACAGTTTCTGGTGCTTTGAGCTTTACAGGCAAATCTTCTGTCCTACTTACGCTGTCTCGGTTCAGACAAGCTTGTTATCCCCTAAAGCCTGTTGTGGTTCCCCAGAGAACCTTATTTTTCCACTAAGTTACAGCACAGCTCACGGCTCCGTCTCCTCGTGTTCTCTTTTCATTTTACAGATACAGTCAGAGGGGCAGGAGAGGAACAGGACAACCTTTTTAAAGCACCAACACTGCGGGGTAAAAGACTCTCTCTGTCACTCAACAGGATCATAAACTAATTTCAGTCAGGACCACTTTTGTCAAAATATCTTATATTCCAAGCAGAATTTTACATTTGGCGGTATGGCTCTGTTCTGGGACCTCCTTGTCCTTCCGTGTGCCTACGTGGAAAACCTTAAGGCAGGGGCACACCTCTGCCCTTCCATGTGCATACATGGAAAAGTTTAAGACAAGGAGAGCAGCAGCAGAGAACAGAACAGAGTGAGCATCAATGGCAATCAGAAAAGGACATTGATTAATTAGAAACAACATAAAAAGGAGGAGCTGGGGTGGAGGGGGGGGCAAAAGGGTTTTAAAGGGAGGCATAGAAAGGAGGCAGGCTAAAGAAATAAGGCGCCATGCATGATGTTTTGATGCTTGAGGAAATCAGGTGAGCTGTCAGCTGACTGTGTATGGTATCCAATGGGAAGCTTAGAGGAATCAGCTGATGTATATTTATGACTAGCTGTGATCGTATGATATAGCTGTAACTGAAAGCTAAGCCTGACTTCGTGCCCTGCCTGAACTAACGCTATGCTCAATGTCTTTACCTGATGTGTGAAAGTCAGAAATTCACTGGAGAATACGAGTGTGTTAATTGAAGGCTTGAAGGTAAAATATAGGTTTGTAGGTTTGAAGAAAAGACGTGTGATGATGGATGTGGTTGGTAATTAAAGATCAGGCTGTTTGACTGAAGATAACACTCTTCCTAAGGCCTTTAGGATTCATCCTCAGGGGGACATGAACGTCTGAAACAAGCTTCTAGTTGTTAAGATATTTCATTCTGAACCCGAAATCACTGCCCAGCACCCACATTATATTAAAGTCCTGTGACATTAACATGAATCAGAAAGTGATCAACAGGAAACGATGTTAACAATCTAAACACATTTAATCTAAATCAAAATCTGATCAAGTGAAAGAAAATCTAATAAAACGGTGACATTACAGGATAGTGTCTCTGTTAAAAGAGTGTTTTTATGGTTCTTTAAACTTCCTGGATGTGGACGTTCAGGTTATAACACGACGAGCGTCAGAGACTCTTTAACAGACTCTATTAACCATTCGAAGTCGCTGTGACGATCAGAGTCTCTGCCTGTCATAACAGTTTACCTCTCAGCTGTTTTTATTCCCTCCGGTGTTTCCTCTTCTCCCTCCTCTGCTCTGATGAAACTCTGCCGTAACAAAAGACAGATCCTCCAACTGAAGTGACCTCGAACCGCCGACAGTCTGCAGTAGCTTTACTGGGGGAAGGTAACTAATTACATCTGCTCATGTGACTGTAATTACGTTGTTTTTTGGGATATTTTTGTCTGTACCTTTTCCTCTTTACTTGATGTTATTCTGTAGTTGGAGCGAGTAATGTGGGTGGGAGGAGTTAATGGATGAAAGGTTCAGTTAACTGTCCATGTTACTGTACTCAGAGGCACCAATACAACCATTTAAAAATACTCCTTTAAAAACGTTTATAAGTAGAAGTATATAAGTATTAATGAGAATAATTTATTCTAAAGTAACGAAAACACAAAGATTCCTATTTTCAGGTGATTACACACAAATGAAAACATGAATATTATATTTCTGCTAATAGATCTTCCTCTCAATGTTACACACTGGACCTTTATGAGAAGTAAAATGTCCCCTGTCGTCCTCCTGGAGTCGTCCCCGTGTAATGACACGTCTTCATGCCCGCCGGTGTGTCCCGACTCCGTCCTCCCTGCTGGGACTTCCGGTCTGCTCTGCTTTTAAAACAAGTTTCCTGAATTCATTTATCTCAAACGAGGCCACACAGAGAGGTTTTCACTGGGTCTCAGAGGCTCTTTGTCTGATTGTGCAGGTTTAGCCAGAACCAGAACCAGAACCAGAGGCGTTTGATGCAGCTTTATACTGAACGTGTACAACTACATATGAAGCCCTGTGGATCCACAGATGTTACAGAACGTATAACATTACATTAAAAGCCTCAACAGCTGAATTCTTCTGTTAAAAGCTTCAAAGATGTGAACTTTTTATTATCTCATGAGGCTTTTATCTCTGCTCTGATGTTCCTTCTTCAGGATATGTGAGGGTTTTATTGTGAAACCAGCTGTGGATGTCAGACAGAGAATAACAATCTGTCAGTGGCAGAAAGACTAACTTTTATTGGCTGTACTTTGACGGGCTCATGTGACCTCGAGGATTAGCTCAATAGCTCGTTTTGTGTCTGTTTTCTCCTCTAATTGTAATT